AAACCGGCCAGAGGGAGCACGCGGTCGCCGCCGGCGATCGCCGCGACGACGGCGCCGCGTCCGACCGCGAGGGCCACGGTCGACGTCACGTTCGTTCCGGCCGAGGCGTCGACGGCCGTCGCCGCGAGCGCGTAGTCCGTCGCGGCCTCCAGCGCGTACGCGGGGAGCTTGAAGTAGCGCTGGTCGTTGGACGCGGAGGTCCGGTCCGTGGCGACGAGGCGACCGTCGTCGAGCACTCGGCTGAGGAGCCACCGGGTCGTCACGGCGCGGCCGGCCATCGGCCGCCCGTCGCAGGAGGTCGCGATCGCGTTCGCTCGGACGGAGAGCGCCGCCTGTCGCGTCATCGAGACGAGCGTCCCTCCCACGATCTCGAGATTCGGAGGCGTGTCCGTGCGGACGTGCACGCGGAACGCCGCCGACGGCGCGCTCGTGCCCTCGAGGAAATTCGCGAGGACGAGCGTTATCTCGAGGCTGCCGAGGCCGCCGTCGACCATGACGACGAGATCCTCGGACGACACCACGAACGAGGGGTTCCCCGCGCCCGCGTTCGCCGCGTCGACCACCGCGGCCAACGTCGCGCGCGTCGCGGCCGTCGCGTTGCTGGCGTTCGCGACCCAGTCGTCTCGGAAGATGGCCGTCGCGCGCCACGCGTACGTGAACGGGCGACCGCCGCTGCCCGTCGACTGCGACGTCCCGACCGCGAAGCCTTCGCGCACCGCGGCCGTCGTCGGGCCGTCGAGCAGCGCGACGGGCACGAGCGGCGGGTCGGGGGGCGACGCCGCCGCCGCCGACGCGTTCGCCGGTCGGTCGCAGTCGCAGCGCTCGACACCGGGGTCGCAGGCGCGCCGCAGGCGCGCCGGACCGCAGCGTGACGTTCGACCGGACCGCAGGCGAGAGCTCGAGGGCCTCGGAGACGCGCGCGGTCACGGATCGAGCGTCGGACCAGGAGCAGTTCGCCGCCGCGGCGCCCGCAAAGTCCAGGAGCGAGGCGCAGCCGAAGAGCGCGCCCGTGGCCTCGGAGGCCTGGTCCGTGGGCGCGTCGAAGGCGACGACGACCTCCGCGCCCGTCGACGAAAACGCCGCGCGCGCCACGGCCGGGGCCGCCGGCACCGCGCCGCGCGCGCGGAGCGCGGCGCAGGGCGTCGCCGTCGGCGCCGCGCTCGGAGCAGCCGTCGTCGGCGCCGCGCTCGGCGCCGGCACGGGGACCGCGCTCGGGCCCCCGGCCCGCGGCGTCGGCGCCGGCGTCGGCGCGGTCGTCGGTTTCGGCGACGGCATGGCCGAGGGCGGCAAGCTCGACGGTGAAGCCGTCGGCGTTCGCGATGGCGATGATTGTGGCGTAAGAGAAGGAGCCGTGCTTGGTTTTGGCTCGGGCGCGGCGCTCGGCGATGGCTCGGGCGCAACGCTCGGCGATGGCTCCGGAGCCGCGCTCGGCGAAGGCACGGGCGCGGCGCTCGGCGATGGCTCGGGCGCAAAGCTAGGCGCGGATGACGGCCTTTCCGTCGGTCGCGGCGTCGGCGCGAACACGGGAGCAGCGCTCGGGTCGCCTGGAATCGGCGTCGGCCAGGGCGTAGGCATCGGCGTCGGTGCCGGCGTCGGTTTCGGCGACGGAATGACCGAGGGCGCGGGCGCGGGCAAGCTCGACGGTGACGCCGTCGGCGTTCGCGATGGCGATGATTGTGGCGTATGAGAAGGAGCAGCGCTCGGCGATGGCACGGGCGCGGCGCTCGGCGATGGCTCCGGAGCGGAGCTCGGCGATGGCTCGGGCGCGGCGCTCGGCATTGGCTCCGGAGCGGAGCTCGGTATTGGCTCGGGCGCGGCGCTCGGCATTGGCTCCGGAGCAGCGCTCGGCGAAGGCTCGGGCGCGGCGCTCGGCATTGGCTCCGGAGCCGCGCTCGGCGATGGCTCAGGCGCGGCGCTCGGCGATGGCTCGGGCGCAAAGCTAGGCGCGGACGACGGCGTCTCCGTCGGTTTTGGCGTCGGCGCGAACACGGGAGCAGCGCTCGGATCTCCAGGAATCGGCGTCGGCCAGGGCGTAGGCATCGGCGTCGGTGCCGGCGTCGGTTTGGGCGATGGTATAGCTGAGGGCGCGGGCGCGGGCAAGCTCGACGGTGAAGCCGTCGGAGTTCGCGACGGCGATGATTGTGGCGTATGAGAAGGAGCAGCGCTCGGCGATGGCACGGGCGCAGCGCTCGGCGATGGCTCCGGAACGGCGCTCGGTATTGGCTCCGGAGCCGCACTCGGCATTGGCTCCGGAGCCGCGCTCGGCGATGGCTCGGGCGCGGCGCTCGGCATTGGCTCCGGAGCCGCGCTCGGCGATGGCACGGGCGCGGCGCTCGGCATTGGCTCCGGAGCGGAGCTCGGCGATGGCACGGGCGCGGCGCTTGGCATTGGCTCCGGAGCGGAGCTCGGCGATGGCTCGGGCGCGGCGCTCGGCATTGGCGCCGGAGCCGTGGTCGGCGATGGCTCGGGCGCAAAGCTAGGCGCGGACGACGGCGTCTCCGTCGGCTTTGGCGTCGGCGCGAACACGGGAGCAGCGCTCGGATCTCCAGGAATCGGCGTCGGCCAGGGCGTAGGCATCGGCGTCGGTGCCGGCGTCGGTTTGGGCGACGGAATGACCGAGGGCGCAGGCGTGGGCAAAGCGCTCGGTATTGGCTCCGGAGCCGCGCTCGGTGATGGCACGGGCGCGGCGCTCGGCGATGGCTCCGGGACGGCGCTCGGCATTGGCTCCGGAGCCGCGCTCGGCGATGGCGTCGGAGCCGCGCTCGGCGATGGCACGGGCGCGGCGCTTGGCGACGGTACCGGTAGAAGCGTCGGCGATGGCTCGGGCGCGGCGCTCGGCGATGGTGCCGGTAGAAGCGTCGGCGATGGCTCTGGTGCGGCGCTCGGCGATGGCACGGGTGCGGCGCTTGGCGACGGTACCGGTAGAAGCGTCGGCGATGGCTCGGGCGCGGCGCTCGGCATTGGCTCCGGAACCGCGCTCGGCGATGGCTCGGGCGCAAAGCTTGGCGACGGTACCGGTAAGCTGGTGGGCGAAGCGAACGGCACGGCGCTCGGAGTCGGCGAGGGAGCCGTCGAAGGGGACGTCGAGGGCGTCGAGCTCGGAGCCGTCGAAGGGGACGTCGAAGGAGCGCTCGACGGAGACTCCTGACACCAATTGTCGTCCGGAAAGTCGAAATGGAGGCTCCAGGCGTTTTCGCCGCATGACGATGAATTTTTGACTCTGACGAAGAGCTGGTTGCCGTACTCGAGTAGTTGGTCGTACTGGTAATAATAATCGCCCACGGAGACGGCGGACGACGCCGAGTTCGAGAACACGAACTCGTACGTGCCGGGCGCCTTCCCCGAACACGAACAGTCCCCGTCGGGCTCGTAGTAGTAGTACTGGAAATTTGAGCCGCACGAACCTTCAACGCACTGCGCGCCGTAGGATGCGTAGCACGCAGCGTACGCGACCTCTTGCATCGAAGCGTCGGGAAACTCGGAGAACGCGTGACCGAGGGAGTTCTGCGTCGTGCACGGGGTCAAAGTAGGGGCGGCGGACATTGACGGCGCGGCAGATGGCGCGGCAGATGGCGCGGCAGATGGGACCGGTAAAGGAAGCGACGACGGAGCCGCGGAAATTGATGGCGCGGCAGATGGAGCGGGAGATGGCGCGGGAGATGGGACCGGTGAAGGAAGCGACGACGGAGCCGCCGAAGAGGACGGCATCGAAGTCGGCGCGTACGGCGCCTGGCACAAATTGTCGTCCGGAAAGTCGAAATGGAGGCTCCAGTCGTTCTCGCCGTTTGTTTTCGATGAATTTCTGACTCTGACGAAGAGCTGGTTGCCGGGCTCGATTAATTGGTCGTCATGCGAGTAGGGATCGCCGACGGAGATGGCGGACGAAGCCGAGTTCGAGAACACGAACTCGTACGTGCCGGGCGCCTTCGACCACGAACAGTGCCCGTCGGGCTGGTAGTAGTAGTACTGGAACGCGCTGGAGGAGCCGCACGAACCTTCAACGCACTGCGCGCCGTAGGAGGCGTAGCACGCGGCGTACGCGTATTCTTGGAACGGGGTGCCGGGGGACGTGCCGAACGCCTCACCGAGGGAGTTCTGCGCCGTGCACGGGCTCGAAGAAGGGGCGGCGGACATTGACGGCGCGGGAGACGGCGCGACAGACGGCGCGGGAGATGGCCTCGACGACGATGGGACCGGTGAAGGAGAAGACGACGAAGCAGTCGGCATCGAAGTCGGCGCGTGCGTCGCCTGGCACAGATTGTCGTCCGGAAAGTCGTAATGGAGGCTCCAGGCGTTGTTGCCGCATCCCGATGCGTACTTCTTTCTGACGAAGAGCTGGTTGCCGTATTCTATTAAATTGTTGTCCTCATCAAGGTAGTCGACGCCGATGGAGATGTCGGACGTCGCCGAGTTCGAGAACACGAACTCGTACGTGCCGGACGTCTTATGGCACGCGCAGTCCCCGTCGGGCTCGTAGTAGTAGTACTGAAACTGGTTCGGCGGGTTGCCGCACGAACCTTCGACGCACTGCGCGCCGTAGGAGGCGTAGCACGCGGCGTACGCGTAGTCGCGGAACGTGGCGCCGGGGGACGTGGCGAACGCCTCGCCGAGGGAGTTGTCGCACACCGCGTCCAGGCGCCGGTCTGCATGCGCCGGCGCCGCAGGCTGGGCTGCGGCGTCGTCGCCGCGCGCACCGAACGTCGCGCGAGCCTCCCGCGGCCGCGCTGCGACACCGATGGCAGGCACCGGGCTGCCGCTGCGCGCACGCGCGTCGCGGCGCAAGGAGACGAGCAGGAGCCCGACGAACCGCATCGCCGTGCGGTTCGAGCGGACCGCGCCGCCACGTAATTTGCGGTTGAATTGCCTCTGCTTGGCAGCCCATTGCGCGGCGCTCCGGGAACCGATCCGTGCCGAGAACTCAAATGCAGTTGTTGACTTCAATGTTACACGACATGTACGCGCGAGACTCGCGCTCGCTTGCTCTGCGCCCGGCGCGGGACTCAGAGCTCCTTGCGCGCGAGCGTCGCGAGCGCGGCGAGGGGCGCCTTGCGCGAGAAGAGCCACTCGCACGCGGGCAGGCCGCAGAGGAGGCCGAGGACCTGGCCCGCGAAGTACGCCGGGAACGACTTGGGCGAGATGGACGCGAAGGTGTCGGTGAAGGAGCGGCCGATGGTCACCGCCGGGTTCGCGAAGGACGTCGAGCTCGTGAACCAGTAGCCCGCGGTGATGTAGAGCCCGACGAGCATGGGCACGTCCTTCTTCGCGCGGATGCCGCCGAAGATGGTCATCAGCAGGCCGAAGGTCGCGACGAACTCGGAGAACAACTCGCCGTCGCTGTCGCGGTCCTTGCCGTCGAAGACGCCGTTGCGGCGCATGAACATGGCGTGCGCGACGAACGCCCCGAAGACGGCGCCGAAGACCTGCGCCGGCACGAAGAGCGCGAAGGCCGCGCCGCCGAGCTCGCGCTTGAGCCAGAAGCAGCAGGACACGACGGGGTTGAAGTGCGCGCCGCTGATGGGGCCGAGCGTCGTGATGAGCACGTAGAGGATGCCCCACGTCGCGAGCGTGTTGCCCAAGAGCGCGACGCCGTCGTCCGGCGACAGGTTGTCGCCCATCATGCCGCTGCCGATGATCGTGCACACGAGGAAGGCCGTGCCGAGGAACTCGGCAAAGACCTGGCGCTCGAGGCTCGCGGCGGGCTCCGCGACCTCGTCGGCGGCCGTGGCGATGGTCTCGCACTTGCCGTCGATCATGACGCACTCGCCGTCGACGCAGCGCCGCCCGGATTCGGGGTCCGTGAGCTGCGTCTGCTGCTGCTGTTCGTCGGACGCCATTCGCACAGTTGTTGCGGCGCGTCGCTGCTGCAAAGAGGCTTGACGAGATGCGAGGGCGCGAACCTTCGCAGACGGTCGAAAGGGCAAACGTGCCTCGCCGATGTCGCGATGCCTCCGTCAATGTCGACTACTTGCAGTGACCTTGCCGTCACAACGCGGCCAGTCCTGAGTCCCAGGACGCTCGTCCCAACAACCCTCTCGCTCGCGCCGGTATAACAAACGCTGCGGGTCTCTTCTTACGCACGCCTCACGCCTCGGCCTTCTCCTCCTCCGCCGCGGCGGCGATCGCCGCGCACTGCTTCGACAGGCCGACGATCGCGTCCTTGATCTTCTTGCGCTCCGTGACGGGCTCGGGAAACGGCACGCGCAGGACGCCCTTGGAGCCCGTCGCCTCGTCCTCGATGCGCACGTCCATGCCGAAGCGGTCCAGGCGCTTCATCTCCGCGGATTTCACGGGCGCGGCGCCCACCAGCACCTCGACGTACTGCTTGAGCGACGACGCGTGGTCGTCGTTCATGTGGGCCATGACCGGCGCCGCGAAGGCGAGGCAGGGATCCACGGACGCCTCCATGTACTCGTCCACCGTGACGCCGCCCGCGCGCGCGAAGCCGCCGACGAACGACACGTCGAGGATCTCGTCCATGCGGTACATCTTGAAGTCGCCGAAGTTCGCCCAGAACGCGCCCGGGTGCGACGCCAGGTAGGTCTGGCGCGCCGCCGCGTCCTCGTCCTTGTCCTTGATGACGTTGACCTCGCCCGTGAAGACCGCGCGCGCGTCCGCGGCGCCCTCGAACGCCGACTCGGTCACCGTGAGCGAGCACCGCGCGTCCTTGACGAGGTTCTTCGTGTGGCCGCTCATGGACGCGAAGCAGAAGATGGGGCGGCCCGACTCTTCCTCGATGGCGAAGCCGACCATGGACCCGCTCGGGAAGCCGCCCGTGGGGCCGTCGCCCGCCTGGAGCGTCGACATGCACGCGAACCCGGCCGGCTGCGCGGCGATGGACCGGATCTCCTCGGCCCAGGTGAGGCGCGGGCAGCCCTCCTGGTGCTCGCGGATGGCCTGCTGGCGCGCCGCCGTCTCCGGGTCGACCTCGGGCATGCCCTTGACCTGGTGGCCCGGCCGGCGCTGCGGGTTCTTCTTCTCGTCCTCCTCCTCGAATTTCGTGCCCGTCACGTCCGTCGCCGCGGATCTCAGCACGGTTCGGGCGGGGCGGTGCGGCAGCTGGAAGGCGGCGCCGGCGCCGAGCATGAGCGCGAGCAAGAGGCGCGCCATCGTGGTCGGGGGCTGTCGGAGAGCTCGTGCCAGCTCTGCGGCACGCTGCTCGCTTGTGTCAATTTTGGCTTGGGCGGCGCCTTTGCCTTTGTCTTGTTGCCGTCGATTCCGCCGCGGAATACGCGCCGGGCCGCGCGGACACGCTGCCATAGACAGCACCAAAGCCTCGGGAACGAGCAAAACAGATGAACAGCAAAACGACGGCGATCTGCGCGGCCTGCGGCGCAGCCGCGTCGTCCGCCGTCGCCGTCGTGGCCCTGCGCATGGCGCGCGCGGCGCGGCGCGACGCGGCGCTCGCCGAGGCGGGCTTGTTGGAGGCCCAGGAGGCGGCGTCGGTCGCGGCGGGGTCGCGGCGCGCGCGGCGGCGCCGCACGGACAGCCGCGAGGCGCCGGCCGAGGCCGACGGCCGCTCGCGGCAGCCGCCGGCGCCGAGCCTGGGCCTGCTGGGCATCGGCAAGCTCGTCTTCGTCGCGCGCGCGAGCGCCCAGCTGATCCTCGCGGGCTACCTCGTCGACGAGCTCGCGCACCGGGGCCTGCCGCGCGGCGTCTACCGCCAGCGCGCGCGCGACTTCTGCCGCGCGGCGGCGCGGAGCGTCAAGGTCACGGGCGCGACGACCTTGGTGGTCGCGGCGGCGGCGTCCTTCAAGATCACGCTCCGCGCCCTCAAGGCGCTGCGGACGCGGGACCTGCCGAAGAGCTCGCTGGAGCAGTCGTTCGCCGCCGCGGCCGAGGACATCGGCGCGGAGCTCCACGCGTGGGGCAACAAGATGCAGAACTGCGACCTCATGACCCACTCCGAGGGCGAGGTCGGCTGGCTCCTCCGCGAGCCCGGCGCGCGCCGCATCGTCGACCAGACCGCGGAGTTCCACCGGAAGCTCCGGGAGCTCGGCGACCGCCGCGGCGGCGCCAAGGTCCGGCGGAAGCTGCTCCTCGACGTCTTCGGCTCGCCCAAGGTCTCGGCCGCGCGACGCGGCGTCGAAGGATTTTTTTTTCCTTCTACGGTTGAACTCCCGCGGCATAGGTCGCGGGCCGATCCAAGGGCTGGGACGCCGTCTGCGTGCTGCTGGTCCCGGGCCTCTGGACGAAGTGGTACCCGCTCTACTGGGTCCACCTGCGGGCGGCGCTCGACGCCTGCGCCATCGACTACGTCTTCAGCAAGAGCGACACGGACCTGTCGCTGGAGGAGAACACGAAGGTCGTCCACGGGGCGGGAAACGGGCGCGACTTCCCATCTCGGCCGTTTTCCACTCGTTTCGGCTGATTTTTGCACGAGCGATGATCCCTCGGAGCGCGAAGCGTGGATGCGGGAACGAACGCGCGCGGCACACCCACGTTGAAGCGACGTTGAATCGCCCGTTTCCCGGCTCAGGTCATCCAGCGCGAGCTCCGGAAGATCCTCGAGGACACGGACCGGTCCGTCCTCGTCTACTCCCACTCCAAGGGGTGCCTGGACGTGGCCGACGCGGTCTACGAGCTGTCGCCCGCGGAGAAGCAGCGCGTCTGCGGCTTCGTGTCGACGCAGGGGCCCTTCGGCGGCGCGATCTTGGGCAACGACGTGCTGAAGACGCGCGTCGTCAAGGGCGCGCTGATCCTGCTCTTCGAGGTGCTCCTGGGCGGCGCGGGGCGCGTCGCCGTCAAGGACATGGCCTACGACGTGCGCCGGGCCTACTACGCGGCCAAGCCCGAGCGGTGGTGGGTCCACCCGGGCCTCCGCGACCCGGGCGAGGCGGGCTTCCGGTGCGACGACCCGGGCGCCAAGGACTGGGTGCCGACGGTGTGCCTCTGCTCCGCGGCGACGCACCAGCCCAAGGCGCTCATGGCGCCCATCGTCGAGTACTACCGCTACCGCTACGGCGCGGACGGCGCGATCGACGGCCTCTGCTCGCGCCTCGACACGGCGCTGCCGGGCGCGCCCTGCGTCTTCCTGAGCGACATGGACCACTTCGGCCCGGCGTGGACGGGCTTCCCGGCGCTCGACCGCTACGACTCCGTGGACCTGTTCTTCGTGCTCTCGGCGATGGCGTTCCACCGGGGCACGACGGCCGCGCGCATGGCGAAGAAGCTCAAGCTGCGGCCGCCGCGGACCGGGAGCCTCGGCGACGACGACGACGCCCACCTCGCGGACTGCTCCGAGGGCTTCCAGACCGCCGCGGAGGACTCCCCGACGAAGCTCACGCGCGTCATGAGCCGCGTGACGTCCTGGGGCATCTTCGCGTAACCATTAGAGCCGCGCTCTCTCACGGCCGGAGGTCGGCGCCGTCGGGGCCGACGACACCCTTCTGGATCAGGAAACAGCCGTAGGGCCGCCGCTCGAGGCACTGGACGACCGCGAACGCCTTCCGCGCCTCCTCGTAGAACGCGAAGCGCTCCACCGGCTGCCAATCGGCGTCGCAATAGGTGCCGACCGCGGCCCGGGCGTCGTCGTGCACCTCCTTCCCGAGCGCCGGCAGCTCGTTGCCCGGCGACGGCGACATGTGCTTGAGCGGATCGTCGACGAACAGGTCGACCGGAAGTACGGACGCGATGGCGCCGAGCGCCGTCGGGCAATCGACGCCCGCCAGCGTGATCAGGTCGCCGGTGGTGGTCTTGGACGCGCACTCGACGGCGGGGAAGTTGCAGTCGACCACCGCGATGACGTCGCCGTGGCCCGCGCTGCGGAGCGTGAATAGGAGCTCGGCCGACAGGATGGGGTCGAGCCCCTTCAGAAGCCCGGCGCGCACCGTCAACGGCCGCGCCGGCGGCCGCGACGGCGCGAACGCCTGCGCCGCGGCGACCAAAATACAGAAGCGCGCCACCATATTCTGAAGCAGCACTCAGACATCAACACCAGCTCTCGACGCGATGTGTGCCGCCCTCGCGGAGCCGCCGCTGCCCTTCCTGTGCATCAACGTCGAGAGCTCGCGCGAGCGGCTGCAGTGGCAGCGCGAGCAGAGCGCGACCTTCGGCGTGTCCGTCGTGCCCGTCGCCGCCGTCGTCCCCGGCAGCGACGCCTACGCCGCCGGCGAGCGCCGCTTCGGCCACCTCTGGATGCGCGGCGAGAACGAGTGGCGCGGCCCGGCGGCGAACGCCATCGTGCTGTCCTGGCTCGGCGCCCTGCGGCGGGCGGCGAAGCGCAAGGAGGCCTGGGTGCTCGTGGGCGAGGACGACGCCGTCTTCGCGCCCGACTTTCGGCCGCGGCTCGCCGCGCTCCGGGACCGCCTGCCGGCGGGGGCGCTCGGCGTCTTCCTGCACGCCCTGGGCGTGCCCGAGGCGCTGGCGCCCTACAGCGAGCACAGCCACATGACCTTCCCGCCGCCGCCGGGCGGCTGGGGCCGCGGCGCTCTCTTCGACGACTGGCCCTGCTACGAGACCGCGCGCGACCAGCGCGTCATGTCCGGCGACCCGGCGATCTGCCTCATGACGCCCCGCGGCGCGGGCCACCTCGCCGAGCTCATGGAGCGCGAGGTCGCGACGCACCCCTGGAACCCCTTCGACCAGGTCGTCCCGTACCTCGCGACGGGCGGGCGTTTGCTCCTCGCGGGCGACCCGGGCCTCGTCTGGGAGCTCGCGCGCCAGGACCCGCAGCGCGCCGGCGCCGCGTCGAACCGCGAGGCCCTCGACGGCAAGGCCGCCTTCGTCGCCGAGCGGCGCGGCGAGCCCGCGGCGAAGCCCGTCAAGCGCAAGTTCAAGATCGGCGCGAAGAGGGCGTAAGACGGGTCGCCTTAGGAAAAGTCCTCGAAGGGCGCGGCGTCGCCCGTGAAGCAGGGCACGACGCCGTCGTGCCAGGTCCGCGCCGGGTCCGCGCGCCGCGGCCGCGGCCGCCGCGTGCCGGGCGGCGGCTCGGACCTCCGGAGCGCGCCCACGTCGAGCCCCGCGAAGTAGGCGTGGTCCAGGGCGTCGGCCTTGGTCGTGCGGTCCGCCGCCGGCGCCAGGCATTTGTGGACGAAGTCGCCGTGGTGGTAGTCGCCGTCGCGGAAGCTCTTTTGGATCTTGTTGCGGAATTTGCCCGCGGCCGCGTCGCGGATGGACGCCTCCGTCTCCGCCGGCGGGTGCGCGAAGGGCGAGTAGCCGTGCGACGCCTCGAAGGCGACGACGCCCAACGCCCACCAGTCGACGCCGTGGTCGTAGCCCCGCTGGGGCGGGAGCAGCTCCGGCGCGAGGAACTCCGCCGTGCCGCACAAGGTCTTCAGCCGCAGGCCCGTCCCGTAGGGCAGCGTCGCCGCCAGGCCAAAGTCTCCCAAAACCGCGAGGCCCGCGTCGTCCACGAAGACGTTCTCCGGCTTCAGGTCGCGGTGGACGACGTCGCGGTCGTGGCAGTGGCAGAGCGCGAGCGCGACGCACGCGACCGCGAGGCGCGCGGCGTCGTGGTCCAGCGCCCCCCGCTCCATGAAGGCGTCCATGAGGTCGTGCTCGCAGAGCGCCGTGAGGAAATAGACGAAATTCGCGTCCTGGAACGTGGCGTGGAGCGCGAGGCAGAAGGGGTCGCCGGCGACGAGTCGAAGCGCGTCGCGCTCGCGCGCGAGCGCGGGCGCCGCGTCGCGCCGCAGCGCCTCCGCCTTCGCCACGGCCTTCAACGCGTAGGTCTTGCCCGTGGCCCGGTCGGAGGCGACGGTCACCGTCGAGAACGCGCCGCGCCCGAGGCGCCGGCCCGGCGAGAGGCGATCGAGGCCCGGGACGTCGCGGCCGAAGACGTCGCGCGTCTCCGCGACGACGAGGATCTCGTCGTCGTCCTCCGTCGTTAGGCTTCTTCGCGGCGGCGTCCGCGGCTCGTCGCGCCGCGCCAGCAGCTCGTCCGGGTCCTCCTCGCGCCCGCAGAAGAGCTGCGGGGGCGACGGCAGCGCGAGCTCGGGGCCCATGACGCCGCGCGCGAGCGCCGTCGCGGCGTCGGTCACCGGCCAGCGCTCCTCGTCGCCGTCGGGCCGGTCCGGGGACAGGTGGGCGAAGCGCTTCGGCCGGCCGTCGTCCTCGACCTCGAACATGACGTAGTCGCCGTCGCCGGACCGCACGGACGCGTCGTCGTCGTCGTCGCCGCCGCCGCCGCGGCCGTCGAGGACGCCCCGCGGGAACGCCAACTTGGCGAGCGCGCCGTCGACGACCTGGGCGGCGTCCGCGGCCGCCCGGGAGAAGGCCAGCGCCGCCGCCGCCGTCGCCGCGGCCGCGTGCGCGGCCGCGTGCGCCGCCGTGAGCGCGTCGCCGCGCGCGCCCACGAGAAACCCCTCGTCGGGCCGCCAGGCCTCCCGGTCGACCTCGGCGCCCTCCGAGCAGCGAAGGAGGGACGTGAGGCCGCCGCCGGACCGCACGCAGGCGTCCTGGACGTCGCCGCCGCAGTCGCGGGCCTCGCCAAATTTCAGCGCGAGCGCGTCCGGGTCCGCGTCGACGAGATCGGCCAAGAGCGTCGACGCGGCCAGATCGTTGAGCGTCGCGCGCACGCGGTCGAGCTCGCCCGCGGCGCCGCGGTACCGCGCCCGCGCCGCGTGCAACCCGTCGGCCAGGTCCTCGGCGCTGCCCGCGAGCGCGTCGCGCGCGTCGGACTGCTTCGAGGGCTTCAAGGCCCGCGCCGCGCGCGCGCCCGCGGCGAGGGCCGCGCGCCACTCCGACGCCTCGGCGTCCGTCGCCGCCTTGAGGCCGACGCGCGCGCCGCCGCGCAACACGATCACGAGCGACGCGGCGGCGGCGCCGACGACGACCCTCGCGGCGCGCTCGAGGTCGAGCTCGTCGCTCGCGCTCTCGCTCCGCGGCGCGAGGTCCCCCGGCAGGGGCGCCGCGGCGAGGCCGCCGCAGCGCGTCAGGAGCACGCGCCGCGTCGGCCGCCGCCGCGCGACGATGGCGTAGACCTCGAAGCCCCGCGCGGACGCGCCGGGCGCGTAGGAACCTATAGGATTTCGCCGTCGTCTCGGAACGGGGCGCGAACGCGGGACGCGGGACTGCCACTGTCGAGCTCGCCGCCGCGCTCCACGGCGAGCCGCCCCGCGAAGCGCGTCGCCGCGTCCGCCTTGAGCAGGGCCGGGTGGCGGTCCGCGGCCTTCTCGCGGTCGCGGCGCTTCGGGCGCGCGACGGACAGCGCCGCGTGCCTCGGCCGCACGGGGACGACGAGCTTGGCGAAGCGCGCGCGCCCGAGCACGCGGAACCGCGCCAGCACGTCGCCGACCCGCTCGTCGTCGTCCACGAAGTCCAGCGCGTCGAGCGAGTCGCCGCGGCGCGCCGTCCACAGGGACCCGTAGGCGCCCGACCGGTCGTCGCCGACGAACGCCGCGGCCGCGGCGCGCGCGAGCTCGCGCGCCGTCGTCGACTCGTCGTAGGCCTGCGTCGTCGACGACCCGTCCAGCGCGTAGACCCGCGCGAGGAGCGCGGCGCCCGTCGCCTCGACCGTTGAGCCCGTCCACCGGAGCCGGTAGCGCAGCGCCTCCGACGACTCGCGCCACGCCGCCTGGGCGCTCTGCTCGTGCGCCGACTCGACGCCCGCGCTCCAGCACTCGTCGCAGAGCCGCGTCCCGTCGCCGCCCTTGCGCCGCGAGCAGGGCCCGCAGACGCAGGAGCCGCACTTGCGGCAGTGGTGCCGCCGGCGCGTGAGCGTGAACGGCACCTCGCAGAGCTGGCAGCTCGGCGTGTCCTCGTCGGGCACCCAGAACGCCTTTTCTTCGGAGCTGGTCATCGCGGAATGTGTCCGAGGACGCGAGGCGTCCAAGGAAGCTAGCCGAGGAGTCCGGCGGCCGCCATCTCGAGGAAGCTGCCCGAGAAGGCCGACGAAGAGGCCGGTGAAGCACTTCAGTTACCGCGAAAGAGCTGCCCGGCAAACATGGTGGAGTCCCACCCCGCGTTACGAAGCCCGACGATGGGTTCGAGGTAACGAGGGTGGCGCAGCCATGGGCCACCGCGCGAGCCTGCCCGTCGCCGACAAGCAGGAGAAGGGCGCCGCGGCCGCGGTCGAGGCGCCCGTTGTCAGCGACGCCCCGAGCGCGACGGTTTCGGCGCCCTCCCCGGAAGCGGTCGAGGCTTCGGGCGACGTCTCGCCGCGCACGGCCGCCGCCTGCCGCTGGCGGGCGAAGCGCACGTCGCTCGTCAACGGCGCCGCGCGGCGCGCGAGCGCCGCGGCGAACGACTACGAGGACGATTTCGAGGCCGACGACGGCGACGACGACTACGCCGACGAGGACTTCGAGGTCTTCGAGGGCGACGACGACGGCGGCGGCGTGTCGCGGCCCTTCGCCTGCGCGACGTCCGACGGCGCGAGCGCGCCCGAGTTCCGGCGCCGCGCGTCGCTCGACAACCGAAAGTACAGGAGCCGCTGGAACAAGGCGCGCGCGTTGAAGGGCGCCGCCGCGGCGCTCGTCGACGTCGCCGACGACGCCGCCGACGCGCGGGACCGCGCCGCGGCGATCAAGGCCGGGAAAGCGCCCAAGGCCGTCGCGTTCCGGGACCACGTGCAGGTGCGGCTCTTCGAGCGCGCGGACGACAAGCTCGCGTTCCTGCTCTACTACACGGAGGACGACATCGACGCCATGTACCGGGACACGTGCGCGGAGACGCAGCGCGGGGACCCCATCGGCGGCTACGACACCGAGGACCGGCCCGAGGAGGCGGACTCGACGGACGACGCGGACGACGACGGCAGCGACAGCGACGACAGCGACGCGCCGCCGCGGATCGCCGGCGCCGACGCCGGCGGCGCGGCGCGCCCCGAGCCCGCGCCGCCCCACAAGGCCGCCGACTCCTTCCGGGGCGCCGGCTCGCCGACCATTAGTACCCGGACGTAGCGCGCGCGGACGTCGTCGACCGCGAGTCGGCCGCGGGGCGCCTAGAGCTTCTGGAGGAGGAAGTCCTCGACCTGCGCCTCCTACGAAAACGCACGCGTCGCGAACGAAAACCCGCGGACGAACGACGCACCAGGTCCGGCTGCGTGAAGAACTCGCAGACGAACTGCTGGAGGTTCGACGGCGTCTCGTCGAGCACTGCGGGGGGCGCGCGTCGCCAGACGGCGGTCGGACGGGACGCGGCGCGGCGCACGTCTCGACATGAGCAGCCGGATCGACCCGCGCAGCTCCGGGTGCTCCCGGATGTAGGTCTCGTTGTCGATGCGCAGCTTGATCTGCGCGACGAGTTTTCGTAACGAGCGCGGGGATTTGTTTGCGCACCTTGGCGTCGGCCAGCGCGGCCTGGTGCTCCTCGGCGAGCATGGTTCACAGTCCGACCGACTCGCTCCGCGGCCGACGACGAACGATGGGACGATCGACCGTCCAGCGCCTCGTTTGGGGCAGCCCGGTGCCCGGCGCCGTGAGCCTCAACAAGTCCTCACGAGGCTGGAATTGCCTTTGGAACATATAGCAAGCTAAAGCTCTTATGGACCGCGCGCAAGCTCTTTTTGAAATGGCTGCAGACGCGCGGTAGCGCTTGTAGACACGCGCTCCAGCCGCTCATCGGACGACGATGATGGACACCGACGACTTCGACGTCGCGCAGCTCGTGCGCTTCGCCTCGGGCCAGCTCCAGGCGCAGCACGGCGTCGACGGCGAGCTGCGCAAGCTCCGCGACTCCATCACCGCCGCGACGCTCGACGCCGCCGTCGCCGCGGGCGCGCTGTGGCTGCTCGTCGCCGCGCGCGCGAGCGAGCCCGCGCGCCTCTGCGCGGCGCGGTTCCTCGAGCTCTGCGAGGGCGGCGCGGGCGGCGACGCGCCCGCGGCCGTGCGCCCGCGCGCGGCGCGCGCCGCGCGGGCCTGGCTCGAGCGCGAGACCGTGCGGCGCGTGCTCTTCTGGGACTGTGGCGCCTTCGCGGTGGAGCGCCTCGACGGGTCGCGCGCGCTCTACCGCGACGCGTACCTCGAGGCGCCCGACGCCGAGAGCCCGCTGCCCTGGGCGCCGCGGAGCATGGTCGCGCTCTTCGACGGCGCCTTCGACGCCGGCGCGTCGGCGCTGGTGTTTGGATTGCGGTCCGGCGGCGCGCTGCCCCTGTGCCTCGAGCGCAACTTCGGCGCGCGCGTCGAGGTCGTCGTCGGCGACGAGCGCGCCGCGCGCGCGGCGGACGCGTTCTCGGGCTGGCGCGGCGCCACGCGCGTCGGCGCCGTCGGCGAGGCGACCTACGACGCGGTCTTCGTCGACGACGACGGGGCCGACGTCGCGGCGCTCCTGCGCCGCGTCGCGCCGGGCGGCGTCTTCGTCGTCGGCGCGGCCGCGGCCGACGCGCCGGCGCTCGCCCGGCGCTGCCGCGACGCCGGCGCGGCGCACGTCGACGACATGCGCGAGGACCCCTACGACGCCGAGGCGCTCGGCGCGCGCGCGCTCGTCGTCGCGCGCGTCGGCGCCGCGCCGTCGAAGAAGCGGGGCCGCGGCGACGACGAGGACTGCCCGCTCTTCATGGCGGCGGCGCCCGCGGGCGGCGTCGCGTCCCACGCGGGCCTCGCGGCGCTCGCCGCCATCATCGACGACGACGGCGACGCGTCGCCGCGGAAGCGGCGCGGGGACCCGGAGGGGCCGCGCGCGGCGAAGAAGAAGCGCGCGACGCTCGGCGAGGCCCAGGTGAGCCTCGCGCTGCTGTAGACCTAATTTACCCGTCGTCGGCGAAGACGCAGTCGCCGTGGTGGCGGGCCAGGCGGAGCGCGAGGCCCGCGGCCGCGGCGCGCTCGCGCAGGTCGCCGTCGCAGTCGGCGAAGACGAAGACGAGGCCGCCCGGGGCGAGGGCCGCCCGGACGCGGCGCAGCACGTCGGTCCGCGTGTCGCCGGCGAGCTCCTTCTTGAGGACGGACGCGAAGAGGACGACGTCCGCGCGCGCGCCGCCGAGGACGTCCGCCACATTCCAGTCGCGCTCGAGGCGGAGCGTCGGCCGCTTCGCGAGGAGCTGCGGATAGAGCACGCCGAGCTCGAACTGGACGAAGGACTCGATGGAGAACGCGTCGCTGTCGAAGCCGTAGTAGCGCGCGGGCTCGAGGTAGTCCTGCGCGCGGGCGTGGCGGGCGCGGAAGCGGAAACAGACGCCGGCGCCGCGCGACGAAGAAGAGGCCGTTCCGTCCGGAGCCGCAGCCGGCGTCGAGGACCGTCGCGTCGCGGGGCAGCGACCCGTTCCAGTCGGGCCGGAGGTCGCGGCCGTAGTACAAAACGTCCGCGACGCGGCGCGGCTTGTGCGGCGGCGTCGAGACCTACCAAGCATGACGGTGACGATTTCTCATTGTTTCCCACCCAAAATCTCTCGAAGATCGTCGCTGCCACAGGACGCTGGTGGAGACCTCCTCGGGCTTGAGGTGGTCGTGGGCCTGGCGCGAGTACTGGTAGCGGTGGAAGAAGGCCAGAGATTCCCAGGGCAGCGCCTACCGCGTGCTCCGGTGACGAAAGCTCTCGAACATCGTCGCGGCCGCGGGACGCCGGGCAGCGCGGGCGTCACGGACGCCGCGAGCGCCTGGAGCCTCGCGACGACGTCGGCGCCGAGCTGCGTCCGCAGCGCGTACTCGCTCCCCGGGATGCCGAAGTGGTGCTCCCGGCTCCCGGACTCGAGGCTCGACCCGGACACGCCCGCGCGCTCCAGGAGCGCGACGACGTCACCGGGCGACGCGTAGGCCAGCGGCGGATTGGCGGCGGTCGCGTTCCAGAACGACACGAAGCGCGTGCCCTCCGCCGCGGCGGCGGGTGCCCGAAACTCCTTCCTCGACTCCGCCAGCGACGCGAACCAGACCAGGCATGCGAGAGACCGCCGCGAAGGCATCAATTGCAAGCGAGCAGCCCCATCATCGTCGACTCGGATTTTTCGGTGTTTGAGCCAATGGTTCAAACTTCAACGTAGTGAGCGTCGGATCCAGGCGCCATGGACACGCTGCGTGTGGCCATGGCGGCTCCGGAGTGAGTTAAGACGGACCTCTTGTGTATACATTACCAAGCCGCGTGCACGTCCAGCCCCGGCCCCGCGGCCTGGTCGCCCGTGACGAACTCGACGATGAGCGCCGTGAACTCCTCGGCCGCGGCGACGTCCCGCAGGTAGCACGGGTGCGGCGCGTTCGCGAAGACGACGAGCTGCGAGTTGGCGAACTGGGTCCCGAACTTGCTCCGGTCGCTCGCGAGCCGCGAGTCCTCGGAGCCGTAGATGCCGAGCACGGGCGTCGTCGTCGGCGCCGCGCTGCCGATCATGCCCGCCGCCGTCGCGTAGCCCGCGACCTCGTAGGATCCCGGGTCGAGCACGAAGGGGAGCGCGTAGGAGCCGCCCATCGACGCCGCGACGACGGCGAACTTCGTCGGCAGGTCGAGCGCGGCGGCGACGGCGGCGAGGAAGCCGGCCTTGCCGCCGCCGGCGATGGTCTTCGACGACGCGCCGTAGCCGGGCAGGTTCAGCGCGATCGCGCGCGCGCCGCGCGCCGCGAGCGCGTCGAGGACGCCGACGGACTGCCACGTCCGCGCGGAGAAGGCCGCGCCGTGGCAGAAGACGACGACGCGGTCCGCGTCGGCGGGGCCCGCGGCGAGGTACTCGACGGTCTCGCCGCCGACGCTCACGGACGACGCCGCCACGCGCCCGCGGTCCTCGTAGGCGGCGGCGACGGCCGCCTCGAGGTCCGCCTTGCCGCTCATGCCCCGCGCGCGCGACCGCGACCCCACCGCGAGCGAGAACAGGCACAGGGCGAAGCGCATGGACGATGACGTGGTGTTCCCGGTGAAGGCGGCCTGGAGCGCGTCGGTGCTCGGCCCAGCTCGTCTAAGCTCTTGCCTCAGGCCTGTTGGCCAAAGCTTCCCCGCAGTTGAAGCCCGAAAGTGAAGCGTAACTCCAGGGCTGGAGCGAGCCGAACGCCACGACCCCCGGCGGTCGCACGAAGTCTTTCAAGTACTAGAATACTTGAAGGTGCAAGTCTGGGCGACCGATTGGTGAAGTTTTGCCCGGATTGGTGAAGCTCTCGGCCTGTTTGGTTGAATTTTACAAGGCTCGTCGCCCTTGTCAACCGCTGCCACCACCGCTTTGCTTGCAGTCCCGAAAGCCAGCGTCGACGCCCCACATAAGGCGCGCGCGGCGGCGGCCCCGCGCGGCAGCGCGGCGGGCAGCCTCGCGGGGTCCGCGACCGCAGCAGCGCGCGCCGGGCAGCCCTGGGCTCCAAGAGGAAGGCAGCCCCGCCATGGGGGCGGCCATGTCGGCGAAGGCGCCCCAGAACCGGCAGACGGGCGGCGCCTACACGGACGGCGACAGCAAGGCCTACCGCGAGGCCTTCACGGAGGAGGTCTGCGACGCGCTCTACCTCAAGGCGCCGCGCCTCGTGAAGCGGCTGCAGCGCGTGCCGACGCGCGACGTGCGCCTCGCGGGCCGCGCGTGCAAGTACAGCGCGGTGCTCATGCGCGGCGTCTACCCCTGGGACCCGACGAAGCCCTGCCAGGACAGCTTCTTCGTCAACGAGTCCATGGTCGTCGACGGGCTGGCGAGCCACTGGTTCGCGGTCATGGACGGCCACGGGCCCGACGGCGACGGCTGCGCGCACTTCATCCGCGACAATTTGGAGAAGGTCGCGCGGAAGCTGCACAAGAAGCACCCGGACTGGTCCTGGGCCGACGTGCTCTCCAACTCCTACGAGACGGTCAACGCCATGCTCCACCGGTCGGACCGCGTGTCGTCCGTCGACTCCGGTTCCACGCTCGTGTCCGTCTGCATCCGCCGCGACGTCTGCTACTGCGCCAACGTCGGCGACTCGCGGGCCATCATCGGGACGCTGGACCGGTCCACGGGCAGGTGCGTCGCGAAGCCCCTGTCGTCGGACCAGACGCCCTACCGCAAGGACGAGCGCGAGCGGTTACGGGAGTGCGGCGCGCGCGTGCTGACCATCGACCAGCTCCAGGGCCGCGCGCCGCTCACCGACGACTACATCTGCGCCCTGGGCGACGAGATCGACGAGGGCGGCGACCCGCCGCGCGTCTTCCTCATGGACGACGACGTGCCGGGCACGGCGTTCTCGCCCGCGCGGCATTCGACCGCCGGTTCGGGCGGTCCCGACCACACTTGAGAATGCTCGAGCTCGGTCATATCGACGTCGATTCAGCTGATTTTTGGACGCATCGATGGCTCTCGTCGAGTTCTCGAAGCACGGCCGAAGAGCTCGCGTCGAAACGGTCGCATACGCGCACATTGAAGTCGGGTGGAAGAGTTGAATGCCACGCAGGTTCTCGCGGTCCATCGGCGACTACACCGCGGAGACCGTGGGCTGCATCGCGACGCCGGAGATCTCGGAGACGGCCGTGGGCGAGGACGACGTCGTCGTCGTCATCGCGTCCGACGGCGTCTGGGAGTTCCTGACGAACCAGGTCGTCCTGGACATGTGCCTCGAGACGGACGACCCGTTCGTCGCCTGCAACCGCATCGTCGCCAAGGCGGCCTACGAGTGGGTCACGCGCGAGCAGCGCACGGACGACATCTCCTGCATCGTCGTCTACCTCAACGACCGCGACGGCAAGCCCCTGGAGGCGACGCCCGCGGCGGCGAAGCGGCGGCTCAGCGTGCCCGTGGAGCGGGAGGAGCCGGACAGCGACGCGACCTTCGGGACGCCGGACCAGCCGGGCCGCGTCTGCGCCGAGGCGCCGGCGGAGAACGACGTCGAGCCCGTGAGCGACCCCCAGGCGCCGCGGCGGCCGTCGCGGCGGACCAAGGGCACGCGCCGCGGGTCCCTCGTGCCGCCCGCGAGCGGCAAGCTCCTCGTGCCGACCCTCGCGCCCGTCGAATCCCGCCGCGCCTCGAAGGAGGCCATGGACGCCGGCGACTACGACCCGCTCAAGTCCCCCGCGTCGACGCCGCGCGAGCCCTGAACCCCCGGCCTCGGACGCTAACTAGGCGGTTACTCGAGGTTGTTCTTGAAGAGGCAGTTGCCATGGCAGAAGTTTGGGGCGGCTGCACGACGTCTCGGCGCCGCCGATCGCGTGCGCCTTTCCGCCCGCGCCTCGGCCCGGCGGCGATCCATGGCGTCGCCGCGGTCCGCCGAGGACCGCTGGCAGGAGGTGCGCCTCATCGGCCGCGGCGCGCAGGGCTCGGTCCACCTCGCGCGTTTCGCGGCGTCCCGCCGCGCCGGGGCTGCCCCCGGACATTTTTTTGCACCCCCGTAGGTGCGGCGCGTCAGCGGCGAGTCGGCGGGCCAGCTCTGCGTGGCGAAGAAGGTGCCGACGGACACCCTGAACCAGCGGGACCGCGAGGCCGCGCACCGCGAGTGCGCGCTGCTCCGGACGCTCGAGCACCCGCACATCGTCAACTTCGTCGAGTCCTGGGAGAGCGAGCGCGACGACGGCCAGTCGCGGACCATGCACCTCATCATGGAGTGGTGCGAGCAGGGCGATTTGGCCTACCACATCAACGAGAAGAAGGCCGCCGGCGAGCGCTTCGCCGCGGCGCACGTCTGGCGGTGGTTTCACGAGATGGCGTCCGCGCTCGAGTACATGCACCGGCGGCGCGTGCTCCACCGCGACCTCAAGTCGACGAACGTCTTCGTGGACGGCAAGTTCCACGTCAAGCTCGGCGACCTGGGCATCGCCAAGATCCTCGAGTCGACGCTCGCGCACGCGTCGACGGTCGTCGGCACGCCCAACTACCTGAGCCCCGAGCTCTGCGAGAACAAGCCCTACTCCTATTCCTCGGACGTCTGGGCCCTGGGCTGCGTGCTCTACGAGCTCTGCGCGCTGAAGCGGCCCTTCGACGCGTCGAACCTGTTCGGCATCGTCTACTCCGTCGTCAAGGGCGACGTCGACCTCGACGCGGTGTCGCCGGACGCCTCGGACCCGCTGCGCAAGCTCGTGACGCGGTTGCTGACCAAGGACGCGGACGTGCGGCCGACGGTGACGGCGATCCTGGCGGACGAGCCCCGGCTGCGGGCGCTCGCGGCGAACGACGGCGCGTCGGACGACTTCAACGACGCGACGACGTGCAGCGTCTTGAACGACGACGACGACGTCGACGACTACGACGACGACTTCGAGAGCGAGGGCGACGCGACGCCGTCCTTCGCCCACAAGAAGACGTTGGCGGACGAGCGCGACGACCCGTCGCCGTCGCGCGCGGCGCCGCTCAACTCCGCGTCGCCGCCGTCGGGCGGCCGCTACGCGGGCATGGACGGGCCGCCCTGCGTCGTGCCCCTGACGGGCGGCGTCCTCAGCCCGCGCGACGCCGCCGCGCGGAAGCGCGCGTCGCCGACGGACCGCGCGGCGCCGGCGCCGCGCGCGTCGCCCGTGTCGTCGCTCAAGCCGCGCGTCGCGCCCATCGTCGAGGCGCCGCGGCCCGCGCCGTCGCCCAAGGAGGCGCCGCCCGTCGTCCTGCTCGACGCGCCGCCGCCCGTCTTCGCGCCGCCGCCGCCCCGGGGCCGCGCGCGGAAGCCCCCGACGGTCGCCGAGGCGCCGCGCGCGGCGCGGCCGACGGTCGCGTCCGCCGCGGCGTCGAAGCGCGGCGCCGCGCCGGTCGCGCAGCCGCGGGGCGTCGCGCCCCCGATCCAGCGCGCCGCGGCCGCGCGGAAGCCGCGGCCCGCGGCGCCGCAAAAGCCCAAGCCCGAGAGCCCGCTCGCGAAATTCCGCGCGCGCGAGCAGGAGAGCCTCCTGGGCCGGGCGCCGCGGGGCCGGGCGCCGCCGCCGCCGCCCGTCGGCGGCACGCCGCCCCAGGCCAAGCCGCGGCCCGCGGAAGTTCGACGGACGCGGTCGACGCCGACGTTCTCCGCCGCGCCGCGCGCCGCCGCGCCGCGGGGCCGGCCGCGGGGCGTGCCGCCGCTCGTCCTCGCCGTCCCCGGCGACGGCGACGGCGACGACGCGGGCGACGACCCGCCGCCGCCGCCCGGCCCGCCGCCGCCGACGCCGCCGCCCGCGGCCCGCGGGCCGCCGCGCCGCGTCGAGACGGCGCGGACCGCGGCGCTCCGGTGCCGCCTCGGCGACGCGCCCTACGAGCAGGTCTACGCGCTCTGCCGGTCGGCCCACGAGCGGTGCGCGTCCGTGAAGAAGGCCGACTTCTTCGACATCGTCGCCCGGGACCAGTACGGCGCGTGCCTCGAGGTCGAGCAGGTCGTCTTCGCGGACCTGACGCGGGGGTCCTAAAATCGCAGCAAAAGCTAGGCGTGCTTTATGGCGACGTCCGTGCGGCCGTAGACGCGCGCGCCCATCTTCAGGAGCAGGTCGTCTTTCAAGTTGAAAAAAAAGTTTGCGGACCTGACGCGGGGATCCTAGCCTTTGATCGTGTCCGCGAGTTCGACGGGCTGCTTGCATCAGCGGCGGCCGCGGGACCGGCCGCTCCATGCTTCGACATCCGCCGCGGAGAGCCAAGGAATCTCATCATCCTCGTACTCGGGCTCTTCGGGCTTCACGTACGGCTTGTCGATGATCTCGCGGAGGTCGACCTTCTCGATTGTCACCGTCATCACCTCGCCGTCACTGCCTTGGTCCTGATACTCGTATAATTTCCCAGTGTCCGGAGGATCCGAGAACTTGTCGACCGTGGCATTCTCTTTGAACACGTCGTCCGTGCGCCACATCGTGCCCCACGGAGAGAGCGCGTCGAGCGCCAGCTTGGAATTCTGCACCACCTTGGCCTTCGTGGAGTACGTTCCGATGACGATCCGTTCGCTCTGCCGGTAACGTCCCACGATGCTATACCTGAGGAGATTGCATCGCATGGCACTGTCTAACATTGTGGACGTCGCTTTCTCACTCGCAGCGATAGACGATTGAGGGCAGCGGCGCCTGCTTAGACTTCTTGTCCGTCTTCTTGCAAGCGTCAGCCTGTTTGCGTTTGGGCGCCATGACTCCGGCGCCGGGGCGGCGCGGCAGCAGCGGGTGGTGGCGAACGATCCCGGTTCTCGGGCAGCCCCGAGCACCACCGGCTACGGCTGCGAATGAGCCGTCGTTGAACAAGCACATCTATGAAGCAATGCTGCAGTAATCCGTAGCTAAGAGCAAGGGGATATAAATCTATTTATTACCCCTTGCTAAGAGACGGTCTCTCGTGCGAGCATTTCAGCGGCCGATGATGGAATCTCCACCTTAGAGGGCCCCGCGCTCCTCGAATATGCAGCGACGTGCAACGATCCCAGTGGCTTTGAGGTCCGCAAACATGTGGGTGAGGCACATGAAAAGACGTGACATCCGGACGATTGCGAGGCGACGCAAACGGGCAGCCCCAGGGGGTGGAATGAGGCGCGGCAGCTTCCCCCGACCCGATTTTCGGTCCCCTTCGAGTCACAGAGCGTCGGGAATCGTTCGTCATGGGGGCGACCAGATGCCCTCGCGGCAGCTCTTCGGCTCGAGTGGATTTGATCGAGATCACCTCACCACCTCCGGGAGGCGTGCGGCGCCGCGGGTGACACGGTGCTCACCGCGCAATGCATGAGGCGTTTGGGCTGTTAGAACCGAGACAGTGCCCTCGGGAACATCATTCCAGGGGGGGTCTCTTCGAAGTCTAACAGCCCAAACGCCCCCTGGAACTAAGTTGGGCCCCTCGTCGGTCGCCCCCCACCGTTAATGGCCGTTCTCGTCATCCACGGGCTGCCCCGACGCGAACTAAGTTGCTCGCCTTCGACCGATGGTCTTTCCCGAGCGACTCACAGCCGGGCCCAAGGCGCGACATGGTCCACAGACCGAGCGCCGCGCCAAGTCTTGGAACCGCTGCATCGCGCGTCCGAGCCCGGAGCGAGGCAAAGCCGTGACGTCAAAACTTCACGGCTTCGCTGCTCTTTGAACCGGTTAACTTTAGCTTAGCCGGCAGTGGGGGGCCGCGGATACGGACTTCAAATCGAACTTCAACGTAATCACGCCTAAAAGATGCCCCCACCGCAGCAAGCTAGGCGTGCTTTATGGCCACGTCCGTGCGGCCGTAGACGCGCGCGCCCATCTTCAGGGCCATCTGGGCGATGCCCTCGGACTCGATGGCGTGGTTCAGCGCGAAGGACGGGAACGAGAGGCCCTCGCGGACGAGGTCCGCGCGGAGGAGGATGCAGGTCGCGCCGACGCCGCCGAGGGGCACGAGGGGCGCCAGCGCGTCCGTCCTCAGGTCGTCGAGGAAGCGCCGCCGGCCGTCCATGGACACGATCGCCTCGCCGCCCGGCGCCGTCGCCGTCGCGGCGCCGTAGCCGTGGACGACGAGCGCGTCGCCCCGGCCCGCCGCGTCGAGCTCCCGGAGCTTCGCGGCGCTCGCCGGCGTCTCGGCCCAGGAGTTGCGGTCGTAGACGCCGCTCCCGCACGCGTCGCCGCCGGAGCAGTAGCACGTGGGGACGACGACGTCGACGTCGGACGCGCGCAACTGCAACAACAAGTCCGCGCCGTAGAAAAGCAGGTCGTTGTCGAGCCAGAGCACCCACTCGGCGTCGCTCGCGCCGACGGCGGCGACGGCCAGGTGGTTCCGCGCGCGCGCGATCGCCGACCGCCGCGCGAGCTGGTGCTCGAGCTTGTGCCGCGCGCCGCTCTCCTGGTCGCCCGTGTTGAGGCCCGCGAGGCCCGCGGGCTCCAGGTACGTCGTCACGGACGCGAAGGGCGGCTTCGCGTCGCGCAGCGCCGCGTCCGCCGCTTCGCACACGGCGACGGAGTCGGGAGACACGAGCGTCGCGACGCTCAGATCCCGCCGGTCCCAGTCGAGGGACAGCAGGAGCTTCACGAAGCGCTTCTGGCGCCGCGCGTTCGTTCGCCGCACGGGCGAGAGCACGAGCACCTTTTCTCGCCGTCGCAGGCCGCCCCACCAGGCCTCCTCGCCGGGGTATCTCCCGCGGTAGCCCGGCGCGGCGCGCTCCGCGCGGATCTCCTCGAGCCGCGCCGCGAGCGCCGCGCTGATGTTGACGCGCGGGATGTGTGTGTCCCAGGTGCTCTTCGTTTCGCGGTTTTTTAGGTCCGCCTGGACGCTGACGGGCGCCACGGTGATCATGGATTTCATGTGGGTCGCGATGAGATGGCTCACGGCGAAGCACATAAAGAGCAGCGCCGCCAGCGCGAGCCGGTTCCACACCTTCGGCGGCGTCTCCGCCATGGGTGGTGGTGCTGTCGGTGCGACGGCGCGCGGCGCCGGCGCCGCGAGACCGCGCCTATGCGACCCCAGCAGCATCTTTGCCACACCTTTGCCACAACTTTGGCGAGCGCTTGGTGATGAGGACTATCGAGAGGACTGTGATGAGGCTAACTTTGACGATGACGACGCTGCGTCTGCTCCTCGTCGCGCCGCTTTTCGCGGGCGCGATGAAGTACCGCAACCTCGGCGAGGAGGGGCCTCATCGACTGCGCGTCTCCGAGGCCTGCCTGGGCACGATGACCTGGGGCGAGCAGAACACGGAGGCCGAGGCCTTCGAGCAGCTCGACTACGCGCTGGCGCACGGCGTGAACTTCATCGACACGGCCGAGCTCTACCCCGTGCCGCCGAACGCGCAGACCTACGGCGAGACCGAGCGCATCATCGGCCGCTGGCTCGCGGCGGACCCGAGCCGGCGCGAGCAGGTCGTCCTCGCGACGAAGGTCACGTCCTTCGGCCGCGACTACATCCCCGCGCTGCGCGGCGTCGACCTCAACGGCGCGCCCGACGAGGAGCAGCCCGCGCGGCTCACGGCGGCGCAGATGGCCCGCGCGCTCGACGCGTCGCTCGCGCGGCTGCAGACGGACTACGTCGATCTGTACCAGCTGCACTGGCCCGAGCGCTACACGAACATCTTCGCGCAGCGCGACTACAAGCGGGCCTTCGAGCGCGCGTCGACGTCCGTCGACGACCAGGTGCTCGGCGTCAAGGCCCTGCTCGACTCGGGCAAGGTCAGGGCCTGGGGCCTGAGCAACGAGAACGCCGTCGGCGTCGGCCTCTTCCTCGCCGCCTGCGCGCGCCACGGCGTGCCGCCGCCGGCGACGATCCAGAACGACTTCTCGCTGCTCCACCGCAAGTTCGAGGAGGACGGCACGGCCGAGGCGTGCGCGCCCGTCCGCGCGGGCTTCGAGCCGGGCGTCGGATTGCTGGCCTACGGCGTCCTCGCGGGCGGCGCGCTCAGCGGCAAGTACGTGAAGCGCGGCGACGGCACGCGCGCGGCGCCCGCGGACAGCCGCCACGTCGCGTTCCCCTTCTTCCAGCCGCGCTACGTCTCCGGCGCGAGCCTGGACGCGGCGGACGCCTACGCGGCGCTCGCGGCGAAGCGCGGCGTGACGCCGTCGCAGCTCGCGATCCAGTGGGCGCGGTCCCGCGAGTACATGGGCAGCGTCATCATCGGCGCGACGAAGATGGCCCAGCTCGCGGAGGACATCGCGGCCTTCGAGCTCGCGGACCTCGAGCCCGCGGAGCTCCTCGAGATGGACGCGGTCTCGGACCACTACTCGCCCTACTACAGGGGCGTCGGCGCCGTCGCCGTCGTCGCCGACGACGCGGCGTGCGGGGAGGAGGACGAGTGCGCGGCGGCCGTGTAAGGTATAGCGAAGGTGTTTACGCGGCGCCGGGGCTAGGCGTCGCGCGGGGTGACGAGCGCTGCGGCCTCGTCGCGGCGGCTGCCGCCCGCGCCTAGGGGAGGAGCGGGACGGAGCCGGGGACGAGCGCGGCCGCGGAGAAGCCCATGACGCCGATCATGGCGAGGCGGCCGTTGTTGAGCTCCGCGTTCTGCTGGTTGAGGAACTGCGCGTCCGTCTTCGCCGAGGTCGTCGAGATGACCTTGCCGCCCCAGACGTCCTCCCACTTGCTGTCGCCGAGGAAGTTGAGCTGGTTGCCCGGGAACGAGCCGCCCTTCGTGTAGTGCGTCTTGTAGGGCGCGCCGAACTCGCTGTGGAACTCCGCGAGGCCGATGGCGATGAGGATCTGGACCTTGCCGTCGAACGGCGTCGCCTCCCACGCCTCGAGCGGCGACTTGGCCGCGAGGTCGCTGAACTTGACGCCCGTCGCGAGGTTGCCGGGGAACCTGGGAGGCGGGGGTCACGGCGTGCGCGGGTCTCGCGCGGCGCGCGCGGCTTCGTTTTAGCGTTCGACGCGCGGCGATTCCCGCGCGCGGCACCCCGGGGGCGAATGAGCGGACGCGGCGAGCGCGCGAAAGGTGGAGGCCGTTCACGATCCAGCCGGCGCTGGCGAGCATCGCGACGCGCGAGTGTTTGAGCTCCGCAGCGCGGTACCACAGCATCAAAGGATCAGACGTCCGCGTCGTGAAGCCGACGGGGTCCCAGCACGTGCCGTCCGCGGCGTTGCCAAAGGGGGCGGTGATGCCGACGCCCTTGAGCACGGGCGGCGAGACGCCGCCGAAGGCGGCCGCCGAGGCGACGAGAGAAGCGGCAAGGAGGCGGTCCATATTGTAGCTACGATCCTCGGATTTGGCTGCGGCCGCGACCCCGGCCACCTCGGGGGCTGTGGCGCCGGGGGTAAATCGCGCGCGCCGCACGCCTCGCACACGCCTCAGCAGAAGAAAAACACAAAACACAAAATTCTACCCCTTCCCGTACGCCCCGATTTCCACGCCGATCTCGATGAAGAAGTCGCCGACGGCGGCGATGGTCGTGCTCACCGCGGACCGCACGCGGGGCTTGGACCGGTCGCCGCGCGCGCTGCAGTAGCCGTGGAGCATGTCGTGGTAGGTGCGCAGCAGGTGGCGCTCGGCGAGGGCCGCGTCGCGGTCCAGCACCTCCTGGAGCGGCCGCAGGTCCGGGTCGTTGCGCGCCTGGACGAAGAGTAGCGGCACCGAGACCCGCGCCGCGAGGTCGAGCGCGTCGTCCTTGAGCGCCGCGTGGATGCCGCCGCAGGCGGCGAAGCCCAGGGCGTTCGGCTCGGCGGCGATGCTCAGCGCGACGCGGCCGCCCCAGCAGAAGCCGAGCCAGAGGAAGTTTTCCGCGCCGCGCTCCTTGAGGGCGGGGGTCAAAACGGCGAGGTCCGTTTTGACGACCTCGAAACTCCCGTAGTCCTGGATGAACTTGCCGATGGCCTCGCCGGTCAGGGGCTGCACGTCCGACGCCGTCGCGCCGCGGAAAAAGTCCTATATGGAACGAGGTCGAACGGACCGATCGACTTCGATCGGGGGCGGCGCGCGAGCGCGGGGCGCGATCAGACCATCTAGTAATAAAAAATAGCAACATGGGGAAGTGGCCGACTAAAGCCGTTCTGAGTAGCTGGTTCGGCGTAAACGCCGCATCACTTCGCGCGCGGGAGACGGCGGTTCGCGGGACGCCGATAGCGCGCGGGCATCACGACCGTCGAGTCCGGGATGATGCGCGCGAGCTCGTCGACGTTGTGGCGCGTGTTCTTGACCTTGAAGCCGAAGACGTCGTAGCCGACGACGACGCAGAGCGACCCGGACCCGGCGACGTAGCACTCGACGCCGGCGATGGTGACCTCCTCGCCCCGGACGGTCACGAGCTCCGGCGGGGGCAGGCCCGCCGCGGCGCAGGCCTGGTGGTCCGACATAACGGCGGGTGTTTGTGGATAGATGACCGGCGCGGCGGCCTGTGCGGCGGCCGGCGAGGGCGCGCGGCGCGGCTGCTGCCACTTGCAAAAACTGGCGAGCGAGTCGGGCCGATCGAGCTCCTCGGGCGCCAGCAGGCCTCGTTTGCCGCGCGAACGATGATGGACGCCGCGGGCCGGGCGCAGCTCCTCTTCGGCATGCTCCTGGGCATGGGCATCGGCGGGTTCCTCTACCTCTGCGTCTCCGCGAGCACCTGCGGCGCGTGCTACGTGGACCCCTGCGTCCACCCGCCGGGGCTCAAGCTGCTCTACAAGGTGAACTCGAGCCTCTGCTTCGCGGGCGTGTCCACGGGCATGTTCTTCTGCTTCCTTTCCGGCTGGGGCGGCATGCTGACGCTCCGGCGCCGCGCGAGCGTCATGGGTTTCGGCCATTTTTTCGGCGCGTGCTGCGTCACGTTCCTCGTGGCGGTGCAGGCCGCGGGCATGTGGGGCGCCGAGTCGACGCTCCTCGAGGAGTTCGGCGCCAAGGAGGTCTACGAGGAGGCCATCATCGACGGCATGTACGAGCAGGTCCGCGTGAAGCCGAACAAGGCGCTCCACCGGTCCGCGCGGTTCCTCTTCACGACGGCCGTGCTCTTCTCCATCGCCCTCATGTTCCTCGCGCCCCTCTACTTCGTCTCCCGCGACGTCTACGAGGACGAGGAGGCCGCCGCGGAGGACGCGGCCGCCGCCGTCGGCGCGACGCTCCGGTCCCGCGCCGCCGCCGCCGCGTCCGGCGGCCGCAACCGCCACATCAGCGCCTACAACCCCATCCCGGGGCCCGACCGGCGCCAGGGCGGCGACGACGAGCGCCAGTACCTCGGCCGCGCCTCCCTGCCCATGCGGCCCATGAAGAACGGCAACGAGTTCACGCAGATCGAGGGCGTCTAGCTTGGGCGGTCGGGGTAAGCTATGTGAGATCTTCCGCCGCTCGAGACGACGGCACTCGCTGCTGGAGCTTGGAGGCTGCTTCCGCCGCGGCCGCGAGCCGCGCCGCGCGCAGCTCAGCGAAAGTTGCAGTAACGTTGCCGCCAACAAGCGCGGATCGGCGCGGAGCATGGCCAAGCAAAATCTCCAAGCAAATGTCCTGTTGATCGGCATGGCCAAGCAAAATGGCCTGTTGATCGGCATGGCCAGGCGGCTTGTCACGCTAATCGCGCTGGTCACGCTCAGAGGCGTCGCTGCCTTGCAACGGCCGCGACGCCCTGCATCGTTGCACCGGCTGCGCCGCGGCGCCGGCCCGACGCATGCCTGGTCGAACCAGGACCTCACGACAGACAACGCCGGCTGCGAGCCGATTCCGGACGACGACTACGTCAAGCAGTACCAGCGCGACCCGGCGCTCTGGCCCGTGGAATTCTTCATCATCGTCTACCGGCGGCGGCGCGGGGCGGCGCCGGAGGCGCTCGTGCGGCGGTCCGCGAACGGGACGAGCAAGTGGGGCCTCGGCAGCGGCTGCCCCGCGACGCGCTGGGCGCCGTCCTCCAGCGCGCCGCCGCGAGGCTACGAGCGGTCCGGCGTCAGCTTCGACGCGCGCAACTTCCCGCAGTTCCGGTCCGCGGAGCCGTGGTCGTACGACAAGATCGACGTCCGAGCGGACGCGTTCGACGGCGAGGACCCGGAGTTGCGCGAGTTCGCGCGGTGGATCCGCCGGGGCCTGCGCGCGCGGTTCGCCGAAGAGGAGGGGGACGCCGCGGGAAGCCGGGACGAGTCGGAGTGGGACGCGAGCCTTCGACGCGTGGTGAAGCGCGTCCTCGACGAGGACAGCAGCGTCGCGGCGATCCAGGGTAGCTTGCGCATGAGCGGCCTCTTCGCGCGGGACAGGGCGGGCAACCGCTACGCGCCGCTGCACGCCCTCGTGCCCGTCGAGTTCGTGGAATCGGCCCGCGTCTACGCGATGTTTCCGCAGATGCCCGATCCGCTGCCGCCGCCGTCCGCGACGGCCGAGGAGCTGCGCGAGGAGATGGAGAGCCGCGCGGCCCGCATGGCGGCGAGCGGCCGCGACCCGCACGCCGACGAGCACGGCCGCGTCTACACGCACATCTCGACGCCGAACGTGAGCAACACGATCCTCGGCGTCTACATGACGCTGGACGCGACGGGCCTGCGGTTCGTCGACGACCGCGTGCCGGCGTTCGATCTGTTCGGGACCGCGGAGGTCGAGCGCGAGTGGGTCTCGCTGGAAGATTTGAAGGTGCTGCAGGGCGGCGTCATTAGCGCGGAGGACCCGAAGCCGACGTTCATCTCCGGCTTCGTCGTCCGCCAGCTCGTCGAGGACGGCGTCATCGACGTCCGCGGGGATTTGCGATAGTGTAGTGTTACCTTCTCTAGCGCCGCACCTTCTCCGCGACGCGCGCGGGCGCCGCCTTCGTCGCGCGCTTCGGCGGCTTGGGCTTGGGGTCCAGGGGCCCGTCGACGCGCACGTTCTTCGGCGTGAAGTCCGGGTCGCCCTTGAGGTAGAGCCACGCGCCGTCGGCGCCGCGGAGGAAGAGCGACCGCTCGATGAAGTCCTTGGTCTCGACGAGCCGGTCGTCGACGAGGCCGTCGAGGACCTTGATGCGCGCGTTCCACGTGATGGACTGCGTGTCGTCGTCGATCTCGACCTCGTCGAAGATCGTCAGGTCCACGAAGGTGGCCGCGCCCGCAAAGTCCAAAATGCGCTGCGCCCACGCGCCGCGGTCCGCGTCGTACTCCTCGTTGCTCGGGTGCGTCGTGTCCATGATGAACTCGGGCACGCGCGCCTTGTAGGCGCAGTAGCGCGCGCGCAGGATCTCCTCCGGGTCCGCGGCCTTGCGCGCCGCGTCGTCCGTGTGGAGCCGCAGGATCTCCGCCGAGCAGCTCGGGTCCGCGTCGACCGCGGCGCGGCGCGCGCTCAGGCGAAGTTTTGGCGCGCGTGTGAGCTGCAGCGCGTCGCAGCCGACGACCAGCGCAGCGAAAGCGAGAAGCATCATTACTCGCCGCAGGCCGCTCTTCAACGTTCGACATTGAAGTGGGAGAGCAGCCCGCAATAAATGTTCAAGGAGCCGAGCCGTCGGAAGAGCTGCTCTCGGCGCCGGCGTCGGCGCGCAATGGCGCCGCCGCCCGCGAAATGACCGCAACACCCGTCGTCGTCCTCGACGGCGGCTCGCGCGAGACGCGCGTCGCCGTCGCCGGCGACGAGGAGCCGGCGCTGAGCCGGCTCGCGAGCGTCGTGGGCCGGTCGGCCGACGGCCCGCCGTCCCACGACTTCTACGGCGACGAGGCGCTGAAGCGCGACTTCCTCGAGCTCCGCTGGCCGCTGGCGTCGCCCGCGCCGGACTGGGACGCCGCCGAGCGGCTGTGGGCGCGCGCGTTGACGGCCGCGGCGGCGACGCCGACGCATCTCGTCGTCGCGCTGCCCGGCACCGCGCCGGCGACGACGCGGGCGCGCTACGCGCGCGCGGGCCGCGCGATATCGGACCGCGTCGCGCTCGTCGACGCGGCGGTCCTCGCCGTCGTCGGCTACGGCGGGTCGCCGACGGGCTGCTGCGTCGACGTCGGCGCGTCGAGCGCCCGGGTCACGCCCGTCGTCGAGGGCCACGCCGTGCCGCACGCCGTCGTCGCGTCGGAGCGCCTCGGCGGCGACGCGCTCGACGGCGTGGTCCTGGGCCACCTCCGGCGCGTCGCCGGCGCGCCCTTCGCGTCGCCGGACGGCGCGCTGGCGGCCGCGGCGCGCGTCAAGCGCGAGGCCGCGGTCGTCGGCACGTGCCGCGCGACGCCGCCGCCCGCGCGCGTCGCCCTCGACGGCCGCTGGGTCGCGGGCGGCGAGCTCGTGCTGGAGCTCAGCGGCGAGGAGCGGCTCTGGATGGGCGAGCAGCTCTTCGAGTCCGACGACGAGGTCCGGGGGCTCCAGGACCTCGTCGCGGCCGCGGCGGCCAAGGCGGGCGACGCGGACGCGTTCTGGGCCAACGTGACGCTCTGCGGCGGCGGGAGCCTGCTGGCGGGCCTGCCGGAGCGGCTCGCGTCCGAGCCAGCGTCCCGCGGCCGTGACGATTTTCGAGAGGTTTGGGGTGGGAAAACAATGAGAAATCGTCACCGTCATGCTTGGTAGGTCGGAGCTCGCGTCCATCGCGGAGACGGCGACCGTGACCTGGGACGGCGACCGCGCGGACGCGGCGGCCGTCGGCGGCGCCGTGCTCGCGGAGTTCCTCGACTGGGACGACGGCGACCGGCCGCTGCGACTGACGGCCGCGGTCCGCGCGGCCGCGGCGTCGCGGCGGAAGCGGCCGCCGCGGCGGCGGCGGTCGTCGTTCCGCGAGCCCGCGCGCGTGAGCGACGACGACGACGCCAAGAGCCGCGCGTCGGCGATCCTGCTGGAGCAGGTCGCGCAGTACCGGGCCGAGCAGGGCGCGCTCGTCGAGCAGCTCAGAGCGCGGGAGCGCGCGCTCGAGGACCGCGTCCGCGCGCTCGAGGCGGACCTCGCGGCGTCGCGGAAGCGCTACGACGGCGCCGCCGCGCGCTACGAGGCGCAGAACGCGGACCTGACGAAGCGCATCGCGTTGCACGCGACGCGCGCGTGGAAGGAGCAGGCGCTGCTCTCCGAGTCGAGCCAGAAGTTCGACGAGGCCGCGACGGTTTTACAGGAGGAGTCCGACGCCTTCGTCGAGGCGACGAAGAGCTCCGACGAGTTCACGCCCGTGCAGTGCCTCCTCGCGGGCGCGGTCCTGGGCGTCGCGGCGTTCGCGTTCGGCCTCGCGCTCGCGGGCGCGACCCTCGGCTTCTCCCGCGAGGGCGACCCGAGGGCGGCGCATTAACGTTAGGAGCTCCAGGTCGCCGGCCGGTCCCAGAAGGGGACGCCGGCGTCGCCGCGCCCGCCGTAGTAGGCGTCGAGCGCGGCGTCGATGATCGTCGAGCACCGCGTCGACGACGCGGCCGTGCTCGGGCAGGCGGCGCCGTCGAGGAGCGCGTCCACGACCGTCTGCACGAGCGGGCCCTGCACGGGGTTCGGCGCCGGGAACGTCTCGCGCGCGACCTCGGTCCCGTCACGCCGCTCGTAGACGACGTCGACGCCGTTCATCACCGCCGGGCACCGGGCGACCAGGGCGTCGCCGGTGATGACCAGCGAGTCCTCGTCTCCGTCGGCTTCAAAGTCCCACGTCGCCTCGCCGGCCGCGCCGGCCGCGCGAAAGGTCAGCGACACCGCGCGCTCGACCTCGCCCGGAGACCCCCGCGCCGAGCCGGCGACGTCCGCGAGCGCCTCGCCGAGGACGAACTCGAGCAGGTCCACCGCGTGCGAGCCGACGTCGAGGAACAGGCCGCCGCCGCTCGCCTTCGCGTTGAGGCGCCACGGCGTCGCCCCGGCCGGGTGGCGGCGCGGGCTTCCGGAACGTGTACGCCACGCTTTCAGCGCGCCGAGCTTGCCGGCCGCGATCGCGGCCTTGAGGGACGCGTAGCGCGGGTACGCGCGCCGGTAGTAGGCGACGAAAAGCGGCAGGTGCTTCTTTTCGAACGCCGCGGCCATGGCCTCGCACTCCCAGGCCGTGCGCGCCGCGGGCTTCTCGACGTAGAGCGGCAGCCCCGCGGCCGCGACGCGGAGCGCGAGCTCGAGGTGGCTGCCCGGCGGCGTCGCGACGTAGACGGCGTTGACCTCCTCGTCCGCGAGGAGCGCGTCGACGTCGCCGTAGAACTTTGGGACGTGATGTCTTTTCGCGTAGTCCTCGGCCTTGGCGACGTCGCGGCGCATGACCGCCACGAGCTTGGAGCGCGCGGCCTGCTGCAGCGCGGGACCGGACTTCTTCTCCGTCACGTCGCCGCAGCCGATGATGCCCCAGCGCACCTCGCCGTCGACTTTGGGGCTCCGAAATGCTGCCATTTTTTGGGTGGAGAAGAAGAAGAAGAGGGTGGCGCGGAGGAGCGTGGTGGCGGCGGCCAGCGTGCTGTGGCTTTGTTGTTGTCGAGCACGCTTTTGCTGTTGTCGAGCACGCTGCCACAGGACGAGGTGAGCGGAGGTGGAGGAGGACGGAGGCGCGCAGCGCGGCAAAAAAATCTCTTGTCCGAGCTTGGATCCGCGAGCCGCCGGCGCCGTCGTCGCAGCTCAGAACCACCCGCGCCGCTGCAGCAAAGCCGTGGGCAATGGCCGCCATGGACGTGGAGAACGTCGAGAAGGACGTGGACAAGCGCACGCTGAGCAGCTTCATCATGAGCGAGACCAAGGACCTGGAGATGACGATCCTGATGAACGCCGTGCAGCTCTCGTGCAAGCTCATCGCGCGCGCCTGCCGCAAGGCCGGCGTCGCGAGCTTGTACGGCCTCGCCGGCACGGAGAACGCGTCGGGCGACGACGTGAAGAAGCTCGACGTGCTCAGCAACGAGATCATGGTCAACGCGCTCACGAACAGCTGCGTCTGCGCGCTGCTCGTGAGCGAGGAGGAGGAGGACCCCATCGTCGTGCCCGCGAACAAGCGCGGCAAGTACTGCGTCGCCTTCGACCCGCTCGACGGGTCGTCGAACATCGACTGCAACGTGTCCACGGGCACGATCTTCTCGGTCTACGCGCGGTCGACCGCCGGCGAGCCGTCCATCGCCGACATCCTGCGGCCGGGCACGGAGATGGTCGCCGCGGGCTACTGCATGTACGGGTCTGCTACCGATTTCGTCGTGTCCTTCGGCGACGGCGTGCACCGCTTCACGCTCGACGACTCGGTGGGCGAGTTCTGCTACTTCGGGCAGCTCAAGATCCCGGAGAAGCCGAAGACGATCTACTCGTGCAACGAGGGCAACTACTCGCTCTGGGACAAGGAGATCCAGGAGGCCACGGACGCCTTCAAGGCCGGGCCCAAGCCCTACAGCGCGCGCTACGTGGGGTCCATGGTGAGCGACGTGCACCGCACGCTGCTCTACGGCGGCGTCTTCTACTACCCGGCGGACAAGAAGAGCGCCAAGGGCAAGCTCCGCGTGCTCTACGAGGGCTACCCCATGGCGCTCCTCACGGAGCAGGCCGGCGGCGTCGCGTCGACGGGCCGCTTCCGCGGCAAGGTCGGCCGCATCATGGACGTCGTCCCGGAGAACATCCACGACCGCTGCCCCATCATCATGGGCTGCCCCCGCGACGTCGCCATGATCCTCAGCAAGTACAACTAGGACGAGCGTAAAAGCATGCGCGTCGATATGATTTTAACACTGGGGGGCGGGTCCGCCCCCTAGAAGGAGTTCTTCCGCCGGACGACGCCGACCTGCGCGCGGTGCGCGGGCGGCCGCGACGTCGCCGCCGGCGGCGGCGGCGGGCGGTGGGCCTTGGGCGTCCGCGGCACGTGGCGGAGCATGGCCGGCGACCGCAGGAGCGACGTCGCCGCGGCCGCGTCGCCGCGGAGCCACGGGTGGTCGAGGATCTTCGCCGCGGTCGCGCGGCGCTTCGGGTCGACGTCGAGGAGCGCGGCCAGGAAGCTCTTGGCGCCGGCCGACAGGCTCTGGGCCCAGGACGGGTAGCGCAGCTCGAACTTGCGGCCCAGCAACGGCGACGACACCTTGGCGGAGTCGTCGTCGAACGGCAGGCAGCCGCAGAGGAGGATGTAGGCGATGACGCCGAAGGCCCACATGTCCACGGCCTTGGAGTAGTGCTGGCGCTTGAGCATCTCCGGCGCCAGGTAGCCCCGCGTGCCGAGGAAGGACGTCGCGATCGACGACGGCTCCGTGAGCATCTTGCTGAGCCCGAAGTCGATGATCTTGACCTCGGGCACCATGCCCGGCGGCGGCTCGCGCGTCAGCAGCAGGTTCTCCGGCTTGAGGTCGCGGTGGATGATGCCCTTGGCGTGCATGTAGCGCACGGCCGACGCCAGGTCCCGCAAGATGCCGCTCGCCTCGGCCTCGCTCAGCGTGCCGCGCGCGACGACGTAGTCGAAGAGCTCGCCGCCCCGGAGGTGCTCCAGCACGAGATAGAGGCACCCGTCCGTGATGATGGCGTCCTCGAGGCGGATGATGTTCGGGTGGTGGCAGGACCGCAGCGCCGCGATCTCCGTCGCGAACTGGTCCGCGAGCGCGCCGAACTGGCCGCCCCGGAGCTGCTCCTCCGTGATGACCTTGGTCGCCCAGCTCGTGCCGCTCCGCTTCTGCGTGGACCGGTGCACCGTCGACGTCGACCCGCGGCCGATGATGGGGCCGAGGTCGTAGTGGTCGCCGAACCTCTCGCGCGCGAATCCGCTGCCGCCGGCGACGCCCGCGGGGCTCGCGGCGCCCGCGCCCGAGGAATTGCGCTCTCGCACGGCGATGGGCGCCGACGCCCAGGGCGCCGACGAACCGGCGGCCGACGGCAGGCAGAACGACGAGTCGCGCTCGCCGTCGCTGTCGTCGTCGGAGCCCGCGCCCGTCGCCATGCGCCAGCACCGCAGCAGGTCGCAGCGCGCCGGCGGCCGCCGCGCCTCGAACTGCATCGCGGAGCGGCGCGCGGCGCGCGGCGGGCGAGGCGCGCAGCAGAACCGCTGGAGTACCGGGATTCGGGCGTCGCCCGCGCGCGGCCAAGGCCAGGAGCCGCCGAGTGCACCTTCGCTCAGCAATGCCGCGGCACGGAATTGGCACGGGTAGATCGTGCCGTCGGTAGCGCCTCGAGGTGCCGCTCGGCCGAGACGATGGACGCAGCCCGCGGGCTCCCTCGTTAGTGAAAGCAGCCCGCGGGCTCCCTCGACGGGCGCCATGAACGTCCGCGACACCATGCCCATGGCGGACCTCAAGGGCATGATGGTGGGCAAGGACGCGCTGGGGCCCGACGCCGCCAAGCGGCCCGTCGTGACGCGGACCTTCGAGGTCGTGCCGCGGCCCGGGAGCCGCGGGGCCCTACGGAGCCAGCTGCCGACGACGCCCGAGGAGTTCTCCGAGGAGCGGGAGCGGGCGTCCATGAGCGTGTCGACCTGGCGCCAGGAGCGCCTCGACGAGCGCATCCCGACGCTGCCGACGCGGACGACCATGTCCGCGCCGGTCTTCGCGAAGCCGCCGTCCGCGGACGCGGCGACGCAGTACCCGGCGGCCGAGGCCGAGGACCACCGGAGCGTGCGCACGCTGGAGACGCGCCGCTCCGTGAACACGGCGCCGACGCTCGACACGACCGCGTACAGCGGTTCAGCGTGGGCTTCCGGCACGTTCGGCCACGTGATCCCGCGGCCCGGCTCCGTGGGCTCCGGGTCCATCACGCGCCCGGGCTCCGTCGGGAGCGGCGCGTCGTCGCGGCGTCGACGGCACCAGAAGCACCCGCTGGACCCCGTGCCGCGGCGCGCCGCGCGGTCCAAGCGCGAGCTCCTCCCGCTCGCGGAGCTCGGCGGCGCGGCGACGGTGCACGGCTGGTGCGTGTCCTACGTCGACGAGTCGCGGTCCTGGAACTCCCTGAGCCTCTGGGCCGAGAGCCGCATCGACGAGGCGGACACGCTGAGCCCCGGGCCCAAGCCCAACAAGCCGCGGACCGTGATTTTGGTCGACGTCTTCCGCCGCGTGTCCAGCCTCTTCGGCCGCTTCCAGCCCGTCATGAAGCTCATTTTAAAGGAGATGCTCACGGCCATCTACTGGGACGCCGCCGAGGTCGAGGACCCGAGCGACTGGGGCGACGAGGACCTCTACGCGCGGCTCACGTTCTTCGAGCACAACGTCCATATGCGGAACCAGGTCGAGAGCTACCGCGCGCTCATCCTGGAGGACGAGGACGAGGACGACGTGTTGACGCAGTTCAAGCACAAGTCCGGCAAGGCCTTCAAGGCCATGCTCAACCCGGAGGTGCGCCTCGTGCGGGGCATGATCTTCCGGGCCTGGGCGGGCCACGTGCGCCAGTGCGTCGTGCTGCGGCAGCGCGTCGCGCACATGATGATTTTGCGCTTGATGTACGGCCTGAAGCGGCGCTGCTTCGCGGCGCTGATCTACTACACGAAGACGGAGCGGGAGCTGAAGCTGCGGATCGTCAAGGAGAACGTGGACCCCTTCGAGGCCTTCGCGCACCAGCACCGCCACTACGTCGGCGCGCTCGTCGGCGTGCTCGAGGAGCGCGCGCCGGGCTTCTTCCGGGGCCCCGTGAACTCGCCGGGGGGCCTGCTCAAGGAGGTGGCGCGGCTGATCTACAAGGGCGACATCCCGGACTGGGTCGACAAGAAGCAGATCCTCAAGGAGCTCCGCATCTTCGACGAGGTCAAGCAGGTCGAGCAGAAGGAGTGCCCCATCTGCGCCGAGCGGCGCTGGCGCACGGAGCGCGCGCGGTCCATCGGCACGCAGACCGTCGACGGCGACGAGAAGGAGGCGAAGAAGAAGAAGAAGAAGAAGCCCGCGGAGCACAAGGTCGCGCCGCTCGCCGTCGACACGGTCATGACCTTGATCGGCGAGATCTACGATTCGGTCGTCGTCCAGGAGAACAAGGTCTACGGCGCCAAGCTCCAGGGCGTGCCCTACACGCAGCTCACGCTCCACGAGCTCGTGCGCGACTTCCTGATCCGGAAGTACGGCATCCGCACCTTAGCGAACAAGAACTTCCAGGGGTTGGTGAACTGCATCGCGGACACGGCGGGCAACGAGCGCATCGACACGTTCTCCCTGCTCTTCGCCGACGCGGGCAAGCAGGGCGGCGCGGGCGGCGAGATCAAGGTCCAGCGGCGCAAGTCGTTCGTGCCCGGCGGCCGCCGGCGGACCGAGGCGCGCGGCTCGCCGACGATCCGCGGGCCGCCCGTCGACGCGAAGAAGAAGGAGAAGGACGACGACGACGCCGACGACCCGTCGAAGTACAACGACGAGCTCTTCCAGATGTTCTCCTTTCTGCTGGCGACGATCCACTCGCTGACGAAGGACGTCGTGCCGAAGATCTCCATCACCTTCAACTCCAAGGAGAAGCAGGTGCTGAAGGTCGCCTTCGTCACGGCCGCGCGCGCGACGCTGGCGAAGACCGTCGCCGCCGAGGACCCGGCCTGGGACCGCTTCATGCGGGACCTGGACCGGCTGCCGGCGCAGGCGCCGCCGGGCATCTCGAACAAGATGCGCAAGGAGAAGGAGACGATCACCGTGGACTCGGCGATCACGCTCATCATGCCCCTCCTCAAGCAGGAGCTCGAGGGCAAGAACGAGGAGAAGCAGATGTCCAAGGCCGCGCGCGTGATCCAGAAGGCGTGGCGCCAGCGCATGCAGCGCGTCGAATTCGCGTCCACGAACAAGGCGGCCTGGGCCCGCGTCTTCGAGCGCGTCGACGTGAAGATGCACCCGCACCCGGAGCACCGCAACTGCTTCACCTACGACGAGTTCTGCATGCTAATCGAGCTCGGCTGCAAGCGGCACCAGGCCGAGGAGCTCGTCATGATCCTGTTCAACGACTGGCACACGCGCTGCGACGACATGCTGTTGGACGAGCTCGACGAGCGGCGCGTCCAGATGGACCGCAACATGGCCGCGACGGTCATCCAGCGCCAGATGCGCATCATGAACGAGTTCGCGAAGAAGAAGGAGCTCGTGCGGTCGCAGTCGTCGCGCAAGTCGCTCGTCATGAACCTCGAGGCGGCCCAGGCCCAGCTCGCGACCCTGCTCAAGCACCAGCAGGCCGTCGCCGCCATCGAGAAGATGTTCGTCTTCACCGTGTCCAAGGTGCAGACGGAGGAGGAGGCCGCGATCGCGCTCGAGAACGCGCGCGGGCCCGTCGCCGCGGAGGCGTTCGGCGTCGTCATGGCCGAGTACGGGTTTTCCTGCCCGCTGGATTCTTAGTAACATAACGGTAGCGCCATAGTGACATGGCATCGGAAACGATGCTCATAGACAGAATGGACATGTCATGGGACATGTCCAACATAGGAGATCGTGCGGGGTCGTCGCCGAAATACCTCAGGCTCGAGGAGACGACGCGCGGTGCTCGAGGCGACGCACGAGCCGGCCAAAATCGAGCTCGACTTCGCTGCGGGCGCGCCCGTCGCGCTCCGCGAGTTCGACGCCGCGGACACAAGGGGGAGGGGAGGTGATGATCAAAGTCGAGGTGGTGTGGGAGGCCCTGGACACAGGCGATCTCAGCTCGCGGATATTTAACACGGAGGCGGGGGAGACCGTGGAGTACTACGCGACGCGGATCTACGGCTTCGGGGTCCCGCGTATCGTCGCATGGGAAGAATATGATGGCGAACCTCAGGGATTCGTGCCCCTCGCGCTTGACGACGTTGTCACGTATTCGTCAAGACTGATCCTGCGCGCGCGAATTCCCGAGGAAGACACGCACTTGATGTTCATGTACAGGGAACATGGTACCGCGTATGTGCCAGTGGGTGGCATGTCTTTTGCAGACAATATGGCCCTGCTCGAGCTCGATCCCTACGACTGCGCGATGGTTCTTGCGAAGCGCATTCTCGAGAGATCTAAAGATTCGAGGGACAACGAAGTACAAGAAGCTGCGCGCCGTCTACTGAAGTCCAAGCCGCCGTTCGAGGACCTGAAAGCTTCTGCGGCGGCGGCATACAGCACCAAGCAGCCGACTGACGAGGACCTGCTCTACGAATTCTACCAAAACCGTAACAGTCGCATACCCGTTGACCCTTCCGCGAAAGTCTCCGAAAGCATCAAACTGCTCCGCGGCCGACGCCGGTGTCATATGATTTTACTCCAGCGAGCGCGCAGCGCCGACGATCCATCCGCGAAGCCCGCTCCGCCTCGCGGCGCGTCGGAAGAGCTTCCCGCCGTCAAGCCCAAGGGCAGGAGGAGCTCGTTCATCATCTTCTGCGACAAGCAACGCCCGGCCCTGGAGAAGAAGGGCATGTCTCCCCGCGAAATCGGCGCGCCCACGGCGTCAAAGGATCGAAGCCTTTTTTTTTCGCGCGCTAAGCCTCCGTTCTCTCCGCAGGCAGAAAATGCGGCGAGCTCTGGTCCGTGCTGACGCCGGAAGAGATGCAAAAGTATCAGGCGTTGGCTGACGAGGACGCGGTGCGCTACATGAAAGAGAATCAGCTGTATGCTGAGTCACTACGTACGAGATCCATACAGGAGATGCGGCGCGCCGAAGAGACCGCCGCGAAGCCGCCGCCGCCTCCGGCCGACGAGCCCGCCGCGACGCCGGCGCCGGCGCCGGAGCTCCTCACCGGCGCGGCCGGCCTTTTGCAAATTTTGGATGAGTTCAAGATAAAAAACGGCGGCGTCGACGACCCGTATTACGCAGCCATGCGCGGCGCGCTCGAGGAGCTCGAAATCGAGGAGCGCGATAACCCCCCCGTCCGTTGTAACTTACTAGCCCCGCCCCTCGCGGCGCGCTCGAGGAGCTCGAAATCGAGGAGCGCGATAACCCCCCCCGTCCGTTGTGATTTACTAGCCCCGCCCCTCGCCGCCGGGCGTCCGCCCCCACTCGGCGCACGCGTGGCCCGCGAGGTCGAAGAGCCGCGCGTTGAAGGGCGCCGTGAAGTTCGCGACGGCGCGGCGCGCGGCCGGGTCCATGGGCTTCCGCGCGCTCCGCGCCGCCGCGTCGGCCCAGGGCGTCACCGCCCCGTAGCCGCGGTGCTGGGCGCCCGCGTTGTACTTGCCCTTGCCGACGACGGGCCCGAAGTCGAAGGCGTCGAGGCCGAGGTGACCGGCGACGCGCGCCATCTCCGCCGCCGCCCTGCCCGCGTCGCCCAGATCCTCTGAGCAAATGAGCAAAATATCCGCCGCGTCGTGGACCGCGTACCACCACTCGAGGTTCGCCGCGTAGAGGCTCCGGCCCACGAGCTGGCGCCAGAGGTGCTGGTTCGCGCGCGGCATCGACCTCGCGGCCGAGAAGCCCGACGCCGCGGTCTTCGCGTAGGCCCGCGCCGCGGCGCCGACCTGGTGCTCGGCCGTCGTGCCGCCGTAGCAGTTCGCGCTCAGGTCGTGGAGCTTCCGTCCGTCCTTCCCCGGCGTCCCTTTGTCGTCGCGGAAAAATTCCTCGAGGAGCGCCACCTCCGCGTCGACGAGGAGCCCGAAGGGGAGCGCGTTCGCCCCGGCCGACGTCACGTAGTTGTAGTAGTAGGACGAGTAGGCCCGCTCCGCCGGGTCGCGCGCGATGCAGAGCACGCGGACGCCCGCGAGGTGCGCGTAGACGCGACGGGGAACGTTCGAGTACTGCGCGTAGCCGGGGCTCGCCTCGCCGGAGATCTCGCCGGGTTTGAGCGTCTTCGGGAAGTGGGCGAGGTAGCGCGTGGCGAAGCTGTTCTTGTCGTAGGCGTGGTCGAACCACTGGAGCTGCTTCTGCGAGGCCGGACGCACGCTCGGGTGGCCGACGAGGTAGTAGTAGAGGCTGCTCGTGCCGCACTTGCCGATGCCGATGATGAGGAAGCTCGGCTTGCAGTGGCTGTTCTCGCAGGGCTTGCCGCCGTAGGCCAGCGCGTTCCTCGGCGCCGTCGCGGCGCCGCGGCGCAGCCCGACGAGGACGGCGGCGACGGCGAGCACCGCGGGCGCCAAGGCGCGGCGCATGAGCGAATTTTTGGGCGGCGACGCGGACGGTGGCGCCGACGAGGCGGACCGCGCCGCCGGAGCCGCCGCGCGCCGCTTGGCGCCGCGCTTCGCCGTCGTCGCGACGAGGCTGCGAGCTGCCACAAGAGTGACTTCAGGAGACGGTCTACTCGAGCTGCTCGAGCGGCACCTTGCCGCCGCAGTGCTGTTAACCTCTCCTAGCCTAGCACAGTTTGCGGCGCTAAACTCGGGTAGGAGACGATGCGCGGGCTGCCCGCGGGCCCCGGTGGCCCCCTGCGGAAGTCGAACGGGCGCAGTCCCGCGTCGCTCGGCGCCGACATCGAGGAGATCGACGCGCTGCTCGCTGCGTCGAAGCGCGCTCGGACGTCCGTCGCCGAGCGCGCGTCCAAGCTCATGTCGGAGCACGCGGCCGTCCAGCGGGGCTTCGAGCGGGAGCTCGACCGGGAGACGCTCCGCCAGAAGCCCAAGGAGAAACTCAAGCGCCGCTCCGGCGCGGACCACGCGCTCCTCTTCCACCTCGCGCACGCGCCGGACCAGCCCGCGGACGAGGCCGCCGCCGCGGCCGCGGAGCGGCCGCGGCGCCGCAAGCCCGAGGAGTCGCCGCCGCCCGACGACGCCGTCATCCCGCCGCCGCCGAGCTACGCGAGCGAGACGGAGGCGCGCGAGTGGGACGAGTACTACCGGTTCTGCGCGCGCGGCGCGCTCTTCAAGGCGCTCGACCGCGGCCGCGACGCGGAAGACGGCGCCGCGCGGCGTTTGGCGGAGACCATGGCCGAGCTCGAGGCCGCCCCGGGCTGGGCGGCGCTCGTGGGCGACGTCGACGACGAGGCCGACGGCGAGGACGCCGACGTCGCCGCGGAGCAGGCCGCGGAGGTCGACGCGCTCGACGAGACGCGGCGGAAACGCGAGGCGGAGCTCGCGGCCGTCCGCCGGGCCTCCGGCGCGGAGATCGCGGCGCGCCTCGACGCCTACGACCCCGTGGGCCCCCGGGCGCCGGGCCACGAGCACCGGCTCCGCGACCTGGGCCTCAAGTACCCGTCGCCGGCCTACGTCGTCCGCGAGGCCGAGGAGCGGTACGCGTCGGCCGCGCGCGACGCGCGCATCGCCGCGCGCGCCGCGTCGGCGCCGGCGCCCGCGGCGGCCGTCGACGACGGGCCCAGCGAGGAGGAGCGCGCCGCCGCTCTAGAGGCGGACGCGCGCGAGGCCGCGGCCGCGGCCGCGGCCGCGATGAAGGCGCTCGTCCACGAGGCGGCTTTGGAGGCGCTCGAGTCGCTGAGCGCGCAGACGGAGTCCCAGTCTTTGGCATCCGGCGAGTCCGCGTCGGCGTCGAGCCACAGCGGGAAGCACCACCACCACCACCGCCACCACCACAAGAAGGCGCCGGGCAGCCCCGGGTCGCACCACGGGTCGCACCACGGCCACCACCACCTGCCCGGCGCGTCCGTCGCCGCGGAGATGGCCGAGATCATCAAGCAGGACGAGCACGTCGCGTCCATGATGCACGAGCTGCCGAGCAACCCCGACGGCCTCATCGACGCCCAGACGGGCAAGGCCCAGCTCATGTCGGAGATCGTCGCCGAGCACACGGTCCGCGTCGACCTCTCGTTCCCTTCTTTGGAGTCGTTCCGCCGCGCGGAGCACGACGTCGCGTCCTACTTCATGCCCGACTACAGCGCCCACCTCTCCGAGCCCCACGGCGGCGGCGGCGGCTTCTGGTCCGGCGTCCGCGCGGAGACGCGGCGCGCGCGCCTCGCGCCCGACGACGAGTCGCACTCGACGGGCTCGCACCGGCGGCCGCGCCACGGCGGCGCGGGCCACCAGCGGAGCCACGACGCCGACGAGGTGCGGGCCCACGGCCTCGAGCCGGCCCTGCCGGGCCACCAGCCCGCGGAGCGGCCCGAGGCGAGCCCGACGGCGACGCTCGACACGCTCCTCCGCGAGGGCGTCGCGTGCCTCGCGACGCTGCCCCTGCCGGGCCTCGCGCGGGACGCGCTCGAGAGCTCCCAGTTCGCGGCGGCGGCCGCCGCCTGCGCCGAGGCCGTCGCCGCGGCGCTCGCGGCGGACGCCGCGCAGCGCGAGGCGCCGAACGCGTCCGTCGTCACGGGCATGCCCGCGGACGACGCGCGGCCCCTCATCGCCTGCGCCATCGCCGAGCTCGTCGCGTCGCCCGCGGCGGCCATGGTCGTCGACGCGGCGCGGGCGCCGACGGCCTACGAGTGCGACCGCTACTGCTCCGCGTGCGCCGCGGCGACGCGCGCGCATTTCTTGAGCGTCGCGCCCGAGGGCTCCGAGGTCCGGCCGCCGCCCGTGTCCTTCGCGCATTTGGCGGCGTTCTGCGCGACGGCGGCGCGCCTGGAGCACGACTCGGGCATGGAGCTCGTCGCGCGGAGCGAGAAGGCGGCGCTCGCGGCGGACGACGCCTTGGCGTGCCTCGACGAGCCGGGCGAGCACACGGTCAAGGGTTTGCTGGAGCAGGAGGGGCTCCTGGGCCCCGCGCAGGACAAGTTCCGCGACTTCGTCACGTCGCCGGCGTTCCGGGCCGCGGTCCAGGCCCAGACGAACAAGCAGCTGGCGAAGCACGGGGGTTTGGGAGCCGCGGCGGCGTGGCGCGTCGTCCTGGCGGCGCGCGACGCGCTGGCGAACCAGGCGGCCGTGCGCGTCGACGTCGCCGCGGCGACGGACCCGGAGGACGGCGCCGACGCGACGGCGAGGTGTTTTGATATTATTGAAGAAAACAAGCAACATCATCATACCCAAACCGTGCACCACGGCCGCCGCCGCATCTCCATCGTAGACACCGCGAGCCGCTTCACGGAGTTCGCGACCTTCGCGCTTCTACGGGCGGCGCTGCGCGAGCGGCGCGACGACGCGCGGCGCGACGCGGCCGCGGAGCTCGCCTACGTGGACCTGGCGCGGTGCCCGCCGAGCGCGGAGCAGGGCTGCCTCGACGTCGTGCACCGTTTGGTGGATTTAGGCGCCTTACCGGCCTCGGCGGCGCGGCTCCTGGGGTCCGCGGAGCTCGCGCGGGGCCTGGACGCGGCGCTCGCGCGCCGCGACGCGCAGCGCGCGC